CTATCTACATCTCTTCCTATCGCTTCACTTATCCCCGCCACACACGTCTCTAACCAACTTTCTTTTTCGCCGCTCGACTTGTCTCCGAAAAGAGCACCAAGCTGTTCGCCTTCCAAAGGTGCCACAACTCTTTCCACGTGCTCGGAACATCGGGCCGGTACCGTCGTCGGGCGTGAGTTCTCCTTCCAGCGTGTACGATGTGAAACCCCGGCTAGTTTGCACGCCGGGGTTCACTATGTATTTTAGCCGTACTATCTATCTACATGTCTTGTACTACATTCCATTCGGTGCTTTGTATCCCTCCCTGGTACTCGTAGCGCTTCGTCTCTTCCTCCATGCCAGCTGTGCTAGGTGGGCATCCAGCCGTCGCATGCATTCATCTGCGATAATCGCTGTGGCGTTGTGGGCCCGGAACTCACGTAGTTCGTTATGCCGCACCTTTGATTCAGGGCGCAAGCTCGCGAGGGTGGATAGAGAGCTCGAGTAGGTCGTCAGGTTGCCTTCTTGGGGTTCGATCGTCTCCTCTGAAGGCGTTGTTGACTGCCGATACATTACGCAGCACCAGGCTGTGGCGCGTACTCCCGCTGGGTGCTGGGACGCCAGTGATGATTGGGTTCCGTCGGACCTTGCAGCCCCGGTCGCCGCTGGGCAAGAGATCGCTCAAAGAAGTACGGTGACGAGGGCGGTGGCCGAATGGTCCTCGTCCTCAGAGGTCTCAGCGGTGAGCCGTATAGTCGTTCCGCGCACAAGCGTTCAAGTGCTCGTCGTGGCCACGCAAGACTTTACCGGCGAACACACTAAGGACGCGAGTTAGCTTCAGGCTTTGAGCGCACGCGTTGAACGGGAGACTCACGGTGACGACCTCGTCATCCGAAGGCGAGGGCTCTGTATCTAATGACGAAGGAGGGGGACACATTGTCTAATGGCGACTATTAGCGACCTTCCCGTATCGAAGGCGATGACGCGAACATACCTCGTCTGCGTACGCGTTCGGCACGACCGCGACTAGGCCTCGTCGAGAAGCTTTGTCCTCCGAATCAAACGCCGCTGCGCAAGTACAAAAGTCGCCGCATAGCTGACCAAACGTCAAGGCGATGCAGCGCGAGTCTCAGGAGCCGACACCGCGCACCGTGAGCCAGAGTGAACGGACATGGAGTGATCCTGCTGGACTCGTTCAGTGAGTACGACGAGAGTTCGTTGTACTACAACACATACCATCCAGTGCTTGTGTGGGCAGGACGGCGTTCATCAGAGCCGTTCCGCGTGGGCCCAGAATCATCGGCACGCGAGAGGCGAGTGTGCTTCAGCTAGCGCTGCTTCCAAACGTTGCGACTTCGTCTTCTGAGCTATCATTCGTTTGTGAGTAAATGACGGCCCGTGCGATGGAACAGAAAGACACATACGTGTTAGAACCCGAGAGGGCAACAGGCAACGGAGTCGAAGCTATTGTTCGACGTCCGTAGTTGTAGCCGAGAGCTCGACCACAAGACACAGCATATGAGTCCACCAGATGGCGTTGCTGGATCGCACGAGCGTGACATTTCGAAGCTGGCGCGTAGCTGCTGAAGTACACGCTGGCTACAGTCGAGCGCGGCCGGCCGGTCGTTTCACGTGTACAGCGCATAAGAGGCTTCTGGTCGTGCAAGACTTATTCGTATCATATTTGCCAAGAGTGGAGTCGATTGTCGTATTGAGAGCAAAAACGAGCGGTAAAGGCGCAGGAATTGAAGTGGGTTGTGACGGAGATGGTAGTCGTGGACAGACCCGCGGGGCCTCGGCCTCCGCGCGCCAACACGACCGCGTACCTCTCTGCCCACGCATGCTCGCCTCCAACGCTCATCACGCTTGTACGCACACCCTCGCTGTCCTTACATGCTTTCACTCGTTCTCAGCAAATACCAAGGAGCCGCTAACCAATATCTTCCAATGTAGTCAAAGGCCGACTTCTTCGGCGACGCTGAGCCCCGAGTACGCCTCGGACAGGTATGTATGTACGTTTATTGTACTTCGATGCCCATGTAGACCCGAGAGACGCACTTCGTTAGATTCCACATGCATCGCAATAGAGTGTGCGATTAATACCCGGTTACCGACGTCCTTCCCCTCCCCTCCTCAGTTCCTCTACCCGCCATGCCCCAAGTATCTCTTCTGAATTACTCTACGGCGCCAGTTTTCCAGCCTCTAGGCTATCGGAAGCTTATGAATGTATGTTAGTAGCACAACAAATACACTACAGGCCAGCCTATTATCCAGCGAATGTACCCTTGTCCGAATAGTCTCGAAGCTCCTTGAGAACGGCTCGCGCCACAACGCGGACGAGCAGCGGACAGACGGGCTCGCGCGGAGTCACTTCGTACAACATATACGACGTTGTTCGCGTGAGCAGGGGGGCGCCATCTTCCGCCCTGGATAGGCGTGCAGATTGAGGAGGCGACAGAGAGTGAGAGGGTAGAACGCGCGGTGTATGCGAAGATGCCGCGCTCGGCGTGCAAGCATACAGCCCAGACTCCGTCCACGCACAATAACGTTAGCCTCGCAGAGCGCGCACGCAAAAAATGAGCAAGAAAAGTGCAGTAAATCGTACCCTCGCGCATGTACCACCGCAACGCCACGACCAGCGCGCAAAGCAAACGAATAGCGATAAAAAAGCTGTATTAAACCCACTCCGACACCATACTCTACTGTACCCCATCTACAACGTCGGCGGCGGCGCGACCTCCTTCAAATTCGCGCCCAGATTATCCGGCAGCGCCAAGCTCGGGTCCACGTCCGCCGCGAGGCGCCCGCCAAACATCACAGCCCCGTTCGTGGCGCGGAACTGCGAGATGCGGTCCTCGACGAGCGGGCGGAAGTGGCGCATGAGGCCCTGGATGGGCCAGGCTGCCGCGTCGCCGAGGGCGCAGATCGTGCGGCCTTCGATCTGCTTGGAGAGTTCGAGGAGCATGTCGATTTCGCGCGCGTGGCCGCTGTAGACATGTGTGAGTGATGAGTTTGGGAGGGAAGAACGAGGGTGAGGGGAAGACGTACCGGCCCTCCTTGAACCTGTCCATCATGTTCATCATCCATGTCGTACCCTCGCGACAAGGCGTGCACTGGCCGCACGACTCGTGCTTGTAAAACTACAAGGACAATTAGCGGCCGAACGCGAAAAGATATAAGAGATAATACTTACGTGAGCGAAACGAGCGATGGCGGCGACGAGGTCGGTAGACTTGTCCATGACGATGACAGCGCCTGTCCCAAGACCGGTCTGCGCATCCTTGAGCGAGTCGTAGTCCATCAGGACCTGCGCGCAGGTATCCTTCGGGATAATCGGCACAGACGAGCCACCCGGCACGATACCCAACAAGTTGTCCCATCCGCCGCGTACACCACCGCAGTGCTTCTCGATGAGGTCTTTCAACGGGATCGACATCTCCTCTTCGACGACACAGGGGTTGTTGACGTGACCCGAAATACAGAAGAGCTTGGTGCCCTGGTTGCGCTCGCGTCCAAAGCCTGCGAACCACGCACCGCCGCGCCGTGCAATAGTAGGAGCAACAGCGACAGTCTCGACGTTTGCGACGGTCGTCGGACAACCGAACAAGCCGACATCAGCCGGGAACGGCGGCTTCAACCGCGGCTTGCCCTGCTTCCCCTCAATACTCTCAATAAGCGCCGTCTCCTCCCCACAGATATACGCGCCGGCTCCGCGGTGGAGGTACACGTCGAAGGAGTAGCCCGAGCCGCAGGCGTCCTTGCCGATGAAGCCGGCCTTGTACGCCTCGTCGATGGCCTGCTGCAGGTGGCGCGCCTCCTGCGTGAACTCGCCGCGGATGTAGATATAGGCGGCGGTGGCGTTCATGCCGCGGCCGGCGACGAGGCAGCCCTCGACGAGCTTGTGCGGGTCGCCGCGCAGGATCTCGCGGTCTTTGCACGTGCCGGGTTCGCCCTCGTCGGCGTTGACGACCAGGTAGCGTGGCCTATTCAGCAGAATCATATTGTAAACACAAGGCGCGATTAATGAGATAGAAAGTAGCAACGCACCTGGGGTCCTTCTCCCAGCCGGGCTTGTTCATAAAACTCCACTTCAACCCAGACGGGAAACCAGCCCCGCCACGCCCGCGCAGACCAGAGTCTTTGATCGTCTGGATAATCCACGCGTCGCCCTTGAGGATGATGTCCTTCGTCCGGTGCCAGTCGCCGCGGGCCTACGAACATTGCGTCAGTTCAAACTGTTCGCGCAAGCAGAAATGTGGGGTTCGGAGATAGTGATATATGATAATAGGAGAAATATACGCACCATTGCACCCTTAATACCGTGGTCGTGGCGCGAGTGTGCGTTTGTGAAGATGCGGTCCTGGTCCCTGAGCCCGCCGTACCGACGAACGGGCGGGTCCGCGACCGTCGCGAAAGAGCGCCGGCTCGTCGCACGAGCGCTCGCTATACACCCCATCAATATCCCTCTCCGCATCCCACATTTGTGAAGTACGCACCGCGAGCAAGCTTGGCGGCCTTGAGCATGGTGGTGGTGATGGTGAGGTGAAGAGACTTGTTCGAGCGCGCGGAGAGGGTCAAGTCAGCTGTGAGCCAATCGGCGCGCGGGATTTACCGGGATCGAGCGCGGACATCGAGCGCGGAGGGTCTTTCGTCTCAGACGCCCACTGTCTATGCTCCGGAGTACGGCTTTACTATGAAGCATTCTTGCTAGCATTACTGCATTGTTGACACCGGGGACTGCTAGGCGCTTATCGCTCAGGACCTCCTTCCCCGCGTCGAAGCGGCTCTGTCAAACGTCCAGTTCGTGTCTTGCATGTATCTTTGATTATATTTCTCTTTCTCTTCCCCAATATATATTCTCTATTTCATAAACCACATTTGCCTTGCGCCGAGATACCCTCCGTTAGCGCAGCTCGCGTAAACGTGATGTTAACCTCCGCGTGAACCAAACGCTCACGTCTTTCTTCGCTCTACGTCTATCCATGCGATATCCGGCTGTGTTTTGACATCGGATCATTGTAGACAAGTGCACGCTCATCGCAGGCACCCCTCTACGAAAACACCCGCGACCTGGTCCCTCACAACGCCTCACTACTCTCCGCATCTCGCCACTTCGCGAATCTCTCCAACATAGCGGGCGTAACCTGCCTCCCCGCGTACGCCTGCTTCGCAGCTTGTACGAACGCGGAATGCGGCACGTACGGTGCCTGCATGTCCTCGCGAAGAGCTCGCATCGCGGCTTCTTGACAGAGCGAAGATATCTCGGCGCCGGTGCAGCCATCGGTCTTCACAGGCGTTAGTTTGAGGAAGGTCAAGGTGAGAGGAAGAGGAAGACATACCAAAGCAGCAAGCTCATCGATGTCAAGCGCTGGGTCGACAGACATGGTCTGCGTGCGTATACGCAGCACCTCGGCGCGTCCTGCTTTGTTCGGCAGCCCGACATAGATGATCCTGTCTAACCGGCCTGGGCGCGTCAAAGCAGAATCCTGCAGAGCATCGTCAATACTCCATCGCGTGCGCAGAGAGTGAGTACGCACCAACGCATCTGGTCTATTCGTCGCGCCGATGACGGTGACCCCGGCCAGCTCCTGAACGCCGTCCATCTCATTCAGCAAGCTCGTCAGCACGCCGGCGTGGTTGGAGCCCTCCTGGCCATCTCGCGCAGTAGCGAGAGCGTCGATCTCGTCCTGTATTCAGCGAATTCAGTGTCTGCAAGGACGAAGACAGAAGAGAGAAACATACGAAAAAGAGTATCGAGGGCGCCGCCGCCCTTGCTTTGCGGAAGACCTCGCGAACAGCGCGTTCGCTCTCCCCGACGTACTTGTTCAACAGTTCAGGACCTTGAACCGCGACGAAGTTCACCCCGCTCTCAGCCGCCAACGCGCGCACGAGCACCGTTTTACCGCCACCGGGTGGACCGGCCAGCAGCACCCCGCGCGGGGCGGTAGCGCCTAGTCGAGCGAGCGCAGCACCGTGTACGAGTGGCCATTCTACGCACTCGCGAAGAGCAGCGATAGTACGAGCCTGTCCGCCGATCTCGGCGAAGCGCGGTGGCGTCTTCTCGGCGTGCAGTGCGTGTGCGCGGAGAGCGGATGGGCGGATGGAGGGAAGGGCGTATGCGAGGTCGGTTGATGTGAGGGCCGCGTTTTCAAGGGATGCAGTGGTTGCGGACGAGGAGAAAAGTCGTTTGATAGCGAGCGTTCCCGCTTCGCGCACGACGGCGGCCAGATCCGCGCCGACGTATCCGTGTGCACGAGCGGCGATGGCATGCAGCTCTTCGTCGTTCACGCTATTCGGCGTCTTCGCAAGTAGCACCTTCATAATCGCCACCCGCGCCTCCACATCCGGTACCCCAATCTCCAGCTCCCGATCGAACCGTCCCGGCCTCCTCAGCGCAGGATCAATAGCATTCGGCCTATTAGTCGTCGCAACGACCACGACCCTCCCCTCCCCCTCTCCGGCATCAACCCCATCCATCTCCGTCAAAAGCGTCGCAACGACTCTCTTCTCGACCTCCCCGCCCGGCCCGTCCTCTCGCCTCGGACACAGCGCATCGACCTCATCCAGCACGATCAGCGCGGGCGCCCGCGCCCGCGCCTCGGCGAACACCCGGCGCACAGCCGCCTCGCTCTCGCCGTGGTACGCGCTGCTCAGCTCGGGCCCGTTCACGACGAGCACGGCCGCGCCGCTCGCGGATGCGATGGCCCGCGCGAGATGCGTCTTGCCTGTGCCCGGCGGGCCGTGCAGTAATAGCCCGCGTGGGGGTCGCAGTCCGAAATGGGCGAACAGGTCTGGGCGCGTGAGAGGGATCTCGATGAGGTCGCGGATTTGGGCGATTTGGGCGTCGAGGCCGCCGACGGAGGTGTAGGCTTTTGAGGAGGATGAAGATTGGAGGGATGATATGCCAGCTGCGGTCGGTTCGGTTGGCACAGGTTTAGGTTCGGAGATTGAGATGAGGGCGTCCCAGGTTATGGTTGCGAGGGCGGGAAGGGAGGAGAGGGTGAGGTTGTCCATCGCTTGAGCGAGCGCGTTGGCGGTGGAGCTTGATTCGGGTTTGGTCGTTGAGAGGGAGGAGACGGCGAGATAGCGCGTGCGGCCTTCGTATTCGATTTGCACGCGCTGGGTGGGGGTTATGTACTTGAGGTCGACTGTACTCGTGTGATCGATACCTCTAGAATAACTGGACGTTGAAAGAGAAAAGCGTACCAAGCATTTCGCGTACAAGCAGAGTGAGCCAGTCGCGCCCCTTCCCCTTATCCGCCCTACTATTCTTCTTCGCGACTACAGCCTCGCCTTGAGCGTCGACCTCATGGAGCTTGAGCGATTCGGCTGATGGTACGTCTTTTGACGTAGGAAGCCAGGGTAGAGCCGGTCTCGTCGTGAGTGGTAGGATATGTACGTTAGTACCATCGTGTACGCGGGCGGTGAGCAACAGAGAAGTCGACGCTTGTACCTCTGACAAACCGTCAGTACATGTAACAAAGTCTGCGAGGGTATTGCGTACCTTCGGCCTCGAGCTCGAGCGAAGGCCAAGCAGATCCAACTACATACGGTTGAGCATCCGCGCTCGCTTCAGACGTAGAAGAGAATAAGACAACCGGATCGCCAGCGAGGCATTTCATGCTCTTGAGAGTAACATCGCTCAGGTAGATGCGCCGGGCCGCGCGGCCTTCGCAGTCTTCTGGATCGGATTGGCGTACGGTGAAGGTTTGCGCAGCCATGTACAGCAAAGAAGACGGTTTCAGGAGAGCTCTCCGGAAGGATATCAGGTAGAGAGTATTCGAACTCGGACGAGCGATAGCGCGAGTCCAATCTTGACTTGAACTTGACAAAACGCGTTTGGACTGCGACGCGTATGTGAACAGACGGAAGCAGCATCGCGGTTACCTGACGCACAGATAGAGGCAGGGAAGTGAATGATTCAGAATGATAGTCGATCGTATAACTCGGGCCGATGCGCGAGCCCGCGCTGGGTGATGGCCGTTCAAAATCAAGAATGGCTTCAGATGAAAAACGGTTCGGTCTTGATTCGGTCCAAGCGGGCCGACGTCTCCCGCGGCGAGGACCGTTCTGGCACTTGCGCCCGCGTCTTGACTGGGTACCGCGATCTCGTCGTACATATTCAGTCAGATTCTGTATATCGAGAACTCTATGATACAACTACGGGAGCATATGCGACTCTTATACAACTTCTCTCGCTTGTTTTTGGTTCCTGTTTGGGCCTTCGGGCATCTGCTTCAAGTCCACTCGGTCTATATACGGTAGCCAACGCTCGGCCCTCACAACAGGGCGCCGGCGTTCTTCCACTGTTCTTCCCCTAGTGGTATCCATGGATCAAACAAACGGGAGAACCTGCGCGACGCATAACCATATCTGTGACCCGTGTGAGTGCAGAGGACGTGAATGGACCATGGATTGCGTACGTACGTCGTACCAGAGATACGAGCGCCTGTCCTGCTTGGGCGTTGTCATGTATTGGAAGCGCAACCCCGTTGCGAGACCCATGATTGCAAAGATGGTTCGAACAATGCCCTGTGCGCTGGATAGAGCGCATACTACCGCCGACCATATGAAGAGAAGCACCGGCATGCTCGGGCGAGCGAGCGAGGGCCAACGCAGCGGGATGGTGGATCGTCCGCGGGCAGCGTCTCCCTCTGCGTCGCGGAAGTCGGCAGCTTGTATGGTGGTGAGGATCACCAGTGCATTCAGTGTGTGACGAAGGATATTGATGACTTCGATTCCGTTGTAGCAAACTATACGCTTATTAGTCCTGCATCGTGGCGAGTGTTCGAGTAAGGCTCACCATCGCAGGCTACGTGGGCAGCTCCAGAGTTTAGAGCGCCGTACATAACAGCGACCGAGGCATGACGCGGTGCCCAGTGCGCGCCGATGTTGAAGTCGTTATAGGCGGATCCCAAGAGGATCATGACAAGGCATTGCGGCAGCACGCCCCAGTACCACGACAGGGCGACACATACGGGCAGGATGGCCGCGCGGAGAATGTTCGCGCTCCGAACGGTGATACGTCCGGCTGGAATAGGCCGCCACGGCTTATTGAGAGCGTCCTCTTCTGGGTCGAACACCTGGTTTGCGATACAGAAGTACAGCAGCTGGAGAAAGGTCCAGGCGATACTGCGAGCGAAGTAGACTGGGGTAGTGTGCGGCGCTGCGAAGTATGACAACAGAGTCTGAGGTGCTGCATCAGTATACCACAGCATGACAGGAACTCGACGTGCAGAGAGTGACTGACCACGGGCAGCATGACCGTCTTGTAGTCGGCCTGTACAAAAAGATGAATGGTTTTGGCATGCTCGATGAAGGAGACCATGCTGGCCATCCGATGTGCTCTGCAATATCTTGAGTCAGTGGTAGAAATGTTTTATACTCATACTACTAGTCCGGCGATACAAGTTCGCCTGAGGACTTCGTAATACGCCGATTGAGGTACACTGCATGCGCGCTGACCCGCGGGCCGCACCCCTGCATCTTGTCGGTGTCTTTCGTCGTACGAATGATAGCGCAGCGGGTTTCTTCTGGCCTGACAGATAGGCTATTGCTTTGAATGGGCACTTGATGGGATGGCTGAGATGAAATGAGACGGATGTGCTTTCCGACGATCTGAAAGCTATATGAGACATGCAACATGCCGTTGAGTGGGCTTCCAAGAGAGATACTGCCTCACCTGTTGAAGATATCGTCTCAGAGAGGAGGGTATACGGGATTAATAAGATCAAAGCCATAGATAACAAAGAGATGTCGGGAAGGGGCATCCCTCTGCGTCCAATCGGCGTGAGTGCCATGAGCGACGGCAAGCATAGTAAGGTATCGGACTGTCGTTGACAGTCAGATGAGAAGCCTGCAGTAAGATGACCTCCTCCTTACTTCTTCAAGCATCCAGTCGATGGTTTTGAGCATGGGCTGTAGGGCTGCCACCACGAGTGTGCGAGTATCGCCGTGTTCGGCCGGGAACTCCCGCGTGCGATGATGAAGATGTACGGGTGTAAGCTAGAAGATAAGATCTCGACACTTGCTCGGAACGCAGTTTACTTATCCGGTAACCGGCGAGAGAGCAAGTCCGGCAGGATTCGAGGACAGGGAAGATGTCAGAAGCAAGAACCGCGGTGCATTCACGGCGATCATCGCTCATGGACCGAAGTTAGACTTTCGACACGTAGACTGCGCGAATCTGTTACTCGATCCTGTACGCAGATTGCGAATTGAGAGGCGTGCATCCTACGGTTTCAAGCACGTAAACGTAGGCACCGGTTGAGTCGGGCTGCGTGCGCCGAGCAACCCTCCACACGGCGCGGCATCGGCTTGCCGTTTATCGAGCGCGCGCATCCGGTAATCCCGTACATATACGTCTTCACTCATGAATGGGCGTATGTATTGCGAGTACCGAAACGCCTCTTAGATTGAATGGGGTCCTATCGAATCCCGCGATTTGAATTCATGTGGACGAAGAGCCGCCTGCTGTATATGGACATACAGGAAGCTCTCGCCTGTGCGGAAGGGGGCATATGCCTGCTCGCCGCAGGCACTCGTGCATATGCGGTGGTATTCGGAGTTTGAGTAAAGATTTGGAGTAGGTGGGAAGTATCATGGTGGCGGTCGGAGTCAACTCTGCGTCTGCGCGCCGTTCAACGCGGCGGCAACGCGGCGCGTCTGCCTTTGCCTCCCACCATCATCAACGGCATTGACCGCAACGATTCAATGCCTTCACACCTCATTCACCAGGTTTCTACAATCAGTCGAACACCGAATCAACGATTTCCTGCGCCGTGATATGTCCAGCGCCGAACGCCCACAAGGCGGTTGCACGTCTGGTCTTTTCTGCTTCCGCCTTCGCTGCTCTTAATGACCACAAAGAACACCTTTGTGGGCGATTAGAAGGTATCGTATACAAAAATGTCTGCTGCTTGGACTACATTCGTATCAACCTCCAACCTCTATCTGTCTCCGTCATCGCTCTGCCATCGTCTCTTCCAACTGCTTGCGACATGCGTCGAGCGGATGACCTGCCTCTCGATGTGCTTAGACAGATCTTCTTGAGCCACCATGATTACTTTCACATCATGCACGAAGGACAACCGCGTCGGGCTCCACCCGACATGGCGAGATCAGTTTCCCATGTCTCTCGCCGGTGGCGCGCGGTCGCGGTTTCGTGCCAGTACCTATGGTCACACGCACTACCTTGCGGCAGCCTCGAATGGACCAGGCTGTGTCTCTCCCGCTGTTTCTCTGCTCCTTTCGAGCTCGCTATAAGCGGTCTATCTCTCGATGAGAATGAAGAGTACCGTCTCGCTTACGACCTAGTCCTGCCACACTTAGCTCGCGTTCGTGGTATCGCGTTTCAGCTGGACGAGGAACGTGGCCTCAAGAACAGTCATGTTCCTGGCATCCTGCGCGACTTGCTAGAAAAGATAAGCACGACCGTGATGCCCGACGCCAAGGAACTCGTCATCTACTACTCTGACCAATATGGGACACTCGAAGGCATACCCGGGCTGCACTTCTCTACGGCGATGCCTGCACTCGATGAGATTTTTCTTCGTGGCATTGTCTGCACACCATCTGCCGGGCCTCAAATGTTCCCTCCTAGCCTCCGTGAGCTCTGTCTCACGGACAGCAACTTTTGGTGGAGTGTGGACGAGATGATCGACACCCTGCGTTGTGTGCCGATGCTTGAAACCTTGGAACACACGACCAATCCGATCACGTTCACTCACGGCCTAGCCCCAGTACCGTCCCAAGTTCATCCTCTTCGTTGTGTGAATCTGGAGAAGCTCGAGCTGCTTACCTGCTCCTGTGGTTCGTTTGCACGCAACATGCTATTCTTCAGTTACCTGTCATTCCCCCCGGCAGCCACTCTTCGAATTGAATATCCTCACTCTCATCCCCTTTGGATCCTCGACGCCCACAGTAGTTCTCCTACGGAGGTAGAAGACATACAACCTTTGGGGGAGTCAGCTATTCGCGAGCATTTTGCCGGCGCCATCAGTCAAGGAGCGCTCTTTCCTGATGTCTTTCTCGACGGGGCCTCTGTATCATCGAGAGGTCCGGGAGCACCCGACGCCTACCGGTGGCCCGTACTCCCTTTCGGCACGAGTGCGCGTCATCTGTTGCCGCCTTTCATCAAATTGGATGTACCGGAAGTCGGCAACGAATTCCGTAGCCACCAGGCGGATTCGCAGGCACCTCGACCCTTCCATGAACGTCTGTTCGAATCATGGGTATCCTTGCCCTTCTTCGCGAACACCAGCACTCTTCATCTGAGGAGTGGCTTCGACAACTTTTCTCTTGCCTTCCTTCGACGATTCACGCTTGTCCGCGAGGTCCACTTCGCTTCGTTGTACATGCTCGGTTCCCCGTTCACCATCATGGTCCTCGATGACCAGCCCAATTTTGCCGAAGGGCTCTTTCCGATGCTCACCACCATCCACGTCGGGTGTACTGGGGACAATGCGCGCCAGACAGAGACCTCGAAGGACGATCTGACGAGGTTCGAGAGACTGGCTGACGTGATACTGCTTCTTTGGGGTTCAACGTTGGAACGTCTCGTTCTGCACGAGCCAGAGCTTCTTGTCAGTCGGGTGGAGACACTAGCGCTGCTGCAACGTCGTCTGGGCGTGAACCGAGTCATATGCGACGACAGTGAGACTTCCACGCCGTACTGTTCCTGCTACACGGCGCCCGCAATCTGCGATGCATGCAGATTGCGGTTAATGCATGCGGAGGAGCACGAACATGGTGAGGAAGATAGTGGTGATGGTTCGGATGAAGAAGATAGCAGCGGAGATGATGAGGAGGACTAGGATGTACTGTACAGGAATCTGTAGCACTTCGACAGTTTATCAGTATATGCTCTTTTGTATGCGATCAGTAGCTTGGTTCGTCGTCCACTGATGTAACGATGACCGTGAACATTGTGAAACGCAAGTGTTCTTGCGCCCCGGATCAGGCCCACTACCTACCGAAGAGAGACGTGACGACCTCGATACGATACATGCAACCCAGTATAGTCTTAGTAAGTCTGCAAGCACCCCAAACTCCGCGACATACGCGAGAGGGAAGTCTATTGTCCACGGGTTCCATACCGTGCGGGTATTCGCTCTCCGTGTGGTTTGTGGTTCAGGCAGTCCCATATAAAGCCCTTTCGTCGAGTCCACGGCTCGCCCTCAACCCACGCACTACTGAAGCATCCGCCTATCACCACCATCATCCGTGATGTCCCACAACAACCTGACGAGCGCAATGAAGAGCACAGCACATACACAACCCCCCGCGCATATGCCCGACGCGCTTCGCTTGGAGATCGCCAAACTCGAGAGCCGCGCCGGAAAGCTTCGTCTTGAAGCCGAGGACATGGAACGGGACAACCCGTCGTTCCTCAAGTACTGCGTGTCCAAGAGGGGCAATGCGCGGCGCGCGGACCTAGAGGCGCAGGGACTGGATAACTTCGTCAATTCGATTGAGGTCGCTAGGGAGTATCGGCGCTCGGTGAAGCGCGATGCATTAAAGAAGATACAAGAGGCGGAGAAGTGCGAGAGGAAGGCGGGAGAGGCGCGTAAGAAGTTGGCGGCTCTTCGGGCTCCCAACGTGGGCGGGCTCGGTCAGGGGGTGCCTCTTGCCCTGTGAAGAGAAGGGGGTGGCGTATGGTTTATAGCCATCGAGGAAGATCAGATAGATAGATTGGGCATTCCTAGAGGACGAGTAATATATGGTATAAATGATCTGTGCGATGGGATAGATGGGAATGATTGATACAGGTTGACCGTACTAAGAGTGAAACCCGGTGGACAGCGAATGAAAGCGAAGAGAGGTGCGATGTAGGTACAAGTTGATAGCAGACGTGGTTGGATAGCAGATTCACAATGCTGTAAACGCGCAGAAGTGCTTGAAAGAGAAGTTGACCACGGTAGTGATCCGCCGGAAGCATGTTTGGGCGGCAAACATGACAGGTAAGCCAGTAGAGACGACGCCAAAGAGAACACCCTGATTAGGTTTCAGCTTTGGCAATAGTCGACGTGATTGAGAGTCATACCAAGTCTATAACAATGGGGACGACCGATCGGATGAACGTCCACGCCCAATATCCCCGCAACACCAGCGACAGGCCGCGCAGGAACCGATTTCTTCCCAGCTGATCGCCATAGCGCTGTGCATAAAGACGTGCGGCCCTCCGCGACACTTTATCCCCCTTGAGTATGTGTTCGGCAATCCGCCTTGCAACATAATCCTCGCCCGTCGCATCCGCCTGCTCGAGCGCGCCCAACAGTGCGGAGTCGCTCAATACGCGCACACAAGTCGGACGAGCGATATTGCGGTCCGAGAGCACGTCGCGCACACATTTCTGCAGTGTTGCGGTAGGCTTTGGCCAGATGTGCAGCGCTTCGGGGTCTTCCAGCAGTATAAGCCTCGATTCGCGCACCATCAGCCAGGTAGTCAACGGCGGTGGTGTTGAGAGTAGAACCCGGACGCGTGTGGTGAATGCCGTGATTATTTCAAGAGTTGAGAGATGTTCACGAGATTTGGGCACTACTGCATCAGTAGCAGCGACCAGGTGGTTCCTAACGAGTGGGAGTAGATGGTCTGCGACCTTGGGTGTGCCGAGAAGTGCGTCGGTCAAGGCCGCAAGCCGGTCTGCGACTGCTGTCTCCAAAGAAACATCGATGACTCCAGCATTCTCGCCGTGATCATCATCTTCGACGAAGGCGGTACTGTCTGTAGCAGCCCCAGAGATCGGGATGACCTCCGACATGGCGGGTGAGAGAAAGGCGTCAATCGCCCCGGCGCGCGTGAGCCCGAACTAGTGTGTGACCACCACCACTGCCTAGCACGCGAAGTACTAATGCTGTTAGTTTGCGCTTTGAGGAACATTATTCCGGTGACACCACTCTTTCTGGTAATTGGTCGCTCCGGAAGTTTATGAAAATCGGGCACACGAGAGAAAACGGTCCAGTTCAAGGCTCGAACCCGCGCCTTGCGCTTGAGCGCTTCATCTTGGACAGCGAGACCTTGACGGGTTATGGAGGTACTGAAGAACTGATACATATACTGGGTGCACCTAGATTCAGCCCTTTTGGCCTAGTTAGACTTGATTATCATATTATGTTTGTTTATTGCAGCAGCTGTGCACTCAGGCATCGACCACTTTAAATGCAGTGTCATCTTTGCGTGGGTGTAAGTAGCGAGGCCGCGCCTAGCGCAACCTGACTTCGTTCTTTTTTGGGACCCCGTTCAGGAAATTTAAAAACCTAAAAAAAAAAACCTAAACCTACGTTCAGCAGGGTGCGGAGCCGGGCATCTCAGTCGTAGGGTACGAGCTGGTGCTGTGCCATCGATGATAGCATCAAGGAGTGGGTCGCACGCCACAAGTCGCGTCGATCGATCGGTACATACAGCTCACCCTTGACCACAACGAGACAGCAAACGTCGCACGAGAATTCGCCCGTATTGGAATATATCTCTGGCTGTACCGTCATGGCTAGCACTCCGAGCGACGAATCCCCACAGGGCTTAATGACTGAGGCTGCCAATGATGGGGGGAGAAGCTCGGTGCTCGGTGGTATGCTAGTGCGTATGGTACACCGTCGCGCGCTCAGTTATCTCTGACGAAGTCGCTCACAGGCTGCTTACGATTCACTTCCCGAGGCGAAGCGACCGCCACCGAACAAAGTGACTGAAGTGGTAGAGGCCTTATATTCGTTGCTATTTCTCCAGGCCGGCATCGTACATCCAGACTTGAAGGAGGCCGAACGGGAGAAGGCCGGGTATATTCTCAGGGACCATCGCGCCCTCCTCGACGCTTACCTCTCGTTGCAAAATCAAACACCTTCTGTGGCCTATGAGCCAGGTGCCGCACCGGTATATCGCCTTCCTCTCGAGCTCATCGCGCGTATATTCGTGCTTTTCGCCGAATGGTCTCCCGACGAGCTCACACCGTACGCCTCGCCAATCGCGCTCACCCAAGTGTGTCGCTCGTGGAGAACTCTTGCTGAGAATACGCCGCAGCTATGGGCTAGGATGCCCATGAAACACGGTCTGGAATGGACGCGGCGTGCCCTCCAATGCTCGCAGAACGCTTCGCTCGACGTCAGCATCCATCCGTGCCGGGTCAAGAACGTCAACAACTATCAAGAAGCCTTGCGTTCTACGCTTGAACAGCTGCCGCGTATTAGTAGCCTGGAGGTTGTGATGAGCTATGGCGAAGACGTGCGGCTACTCTTGGAAGTTCAGGACCTTTTACGCTCGAAACCCGCGTCGAAGTTGGTGAAGCTGGAGTATGACGGATCGGCCTTCGAAAGCCCGAACGACCTAGATAGAAGGCTATTCGCTGGTGCTTGCCCGGGTCAATTGCGCATCGCAAAGCTTCGCGAAACCGTCATACGACTGAGCTGCCCGATCTTTCACTCCCCTTTAACGACGCTATCTCTCAAGGAGTGCTCTGTCTGGGAATCAGTGGACGAGATGATGCGCACGCTCAAAGGGCTTCCGTCGCTGGAGCACTTCAAATGGATCATGAACGAGGAAGTGCCGGTCCAGATCGACCCGCGGGAGCGCGTTGATTCAAAGCCACGCTCTGTGCAACTTTCTCAACTACAGACGCTCGAACTCCAGGACGAACTCCCCCTCCTTTTAAACATCTTCGCTTGTCTGGAAGTCCCGCCGTCTACTTCCATTCTCATCCATGGCCAAATCGAATCCGTCATATGGGGAGGATCACTCGATGACACGCTCGTTCACCTTGACAACGCCTTTGGGACGCACCTTTCCGCCGCTCTCGGCGATGAGAGCTTCAAGACCCTATCCATAGTGGATTTCGCAGGAAGTAACGACCAAGGTTACAGTGCTGTATTCGAGGAGCCTTCTGCACCCCAGTGTCCACAACGCTTCATGCTGGGCTTCTGTTTCCTCTCCGACTACGTCGACGAATTCACGCGACTGCTAGCAGGCATGCTATCTTGGGGCCCCTGCTCGCGCGCCATCCACCAGATCAACATACGTTACGATCTTGAGTTCCTGCGATGCGCGGACACGTGGAAGGTCCTCCTCGAGCGACTACCTTTGGTGGAGGAAATCCAGGTTCTTGCCAGATCTGGGACTGCTCTTCTCTCTTACCTCACGGAACACCTGGAGTGTGCGCCGGCTTTGAGAAGAGTTGTCATCCGCGAGGCCAAGGGACTTGCGGAGATGGATATCAATGAAGTTGTCAAGTCGCTCGACGCCCGTTCAGCTGCCGGGCTTCCGAAACTCTCCCTGTCGATGATCAATTGTGATATCACCGAGGACCAAGTCGTAGCACTGGAGGAATGTGCAAGTATCGAAAAGGTGTTTTGCTATCCGCGCGTCACCAAGGAGTTGATCGATGCGGCGAAGCGATTCGGCTTCGAGGTCCCTCTCACTTCCCAGCTGACTCTTGCTTCTGGGGGAGGAATCATCACGCCATGAACGTCATTTACCTCGATTGATTCACTTCCGCCATTTCCAGATACACGACTCCGCCACGATATACTGCAGTACACACTGCTTCCATTATACATGTACATCCTCTACGTATCATACTTGAAATCATCTTCGAAACCTCGTACTAAAACACATTACACCTAATCAATACATGCGCCGTGGAATGTACAGCCTAGGTGCCGCGCGTCAAACCTGAAGCCGCGCCATATTGTACGACGGTGATGATGACTGTATCCCAGATTGGACGGGGGTAGGTTGAGACCGGCACGTCCGGTGGAACCGCAGCCCGATCGGTCACGAATGGCACACCCTGCGCGATGCTAGACAGATCTACATACTCCGTCGAGATGAAGAGTTTGATGAACCCAACGTCCCGATCTTGCCCCTCGCGAAGGAAGTACGTGAAAGGTCGGCCTCCTCCGGCTCCATAACCGATATGCAGAGTACCAAATGGAAGGAGGATCGGCTGGTCAGCGGTCGGAGACCGATAGTATTCAGCTATCAGTGGGTCAGAATGCGGAAGGAGGCATATCTTTCAGCGCACATACTGATAGAGAGGTCGCTGCAGTCAAAGTAGAACACCCAGACGTGCAGCGGTACTGAGGTCTTATTCCGTATGGTGACGCCGTACTTCGCCTTCGAGTCGGCGACAACATCAACGGCACCTCCTCGGAAGAGATCGTCGCCGTTGCGAACCAGAGGAGGCATCAGGTCATCGTCGAGCTCAGCCTCGTCGTCTTCGACCAGTGCATGCACCTTCACGTCGACTTTACTGCGCAAGCGGTTCTTCTCCGGTGAGCGACGCAGATGCCAAAAGAAGTGCGAAGCGGAACGCAGAGCAGGGAGTATGTACCGCGAGTCGGGCATTACCGTATGGTAGAGCGCGTGTATCCCGTACGCCGTGATGAGGGAGTCGAGGATGTCAAACTTGAGATAACCGTCGTCGTCTACGCTGAGTGCCAGATCCGCGTTCGCCTTGTCACTGAGATGGGTCGCCTGAGTGCCGCCGGCCTGTTGCAGTTCAAGATCGAAAGCGAGCGCCCTCATGGCGGGGATGAACTCGTCGGAGAACGGGATGTGGATGCGTAAGGCCTCAGCTTCGCCCATCGAAGATTGAAAGGCAAAGCAAGGCGTCTCAGCTGGGAGCACCGGCCCATCCTTGTCTTTAGGCGACAAAACAATCAACTCCGAGTTGAACGGCATGATCGTTGTGGCCATTACGATGGCCAATGGCGACTCTCCGGGGAAGAAGTCGCGACTCGCATAGATAGCGAACTTGGCGTCCTGGGTCAAGCCGTGAATGGTTCCCGCCTGCATGATCAGGTTCCCGCCCTCCTGGGTGACCGGATAGACAACGCGCCCTTTGCTCGGAGAGAGAGCATTGAATAGGACCCGGTCGACATAGTAGCCCTCGCACTGCGGTATTTGTCTGAACGAATAGTTGTCAGTCAAAAGATGCCACAGGAGACGATTGTGTTAGCGTACTTCGGTATGTCTGGAAGGAGACCCATGACTTCCTTGTAAGTGATCTTATCCGTGGCAACACCGCGCAGTGTGCGCAGAAGCGCTGAGGTGAACGCCCCGCGACCGTTTTCTTCATGCGCGACCTCTGTCTCCTTGCACGCGGCAAGAAGGACGTGCGAGTGAGCGCCAGCGTTGAGGAATCCAGCGGCGACCGCAATAGCACGTGCGCTCCTCCAGATCCCCTCATCGAGAGATGCGGGTATCGGCTCCTCCATCGTGAAACCGCGCTCGAGGCGACTCTCCGTGAACTCGGACACTCGCGTCCCGGATCCCGAATGACAGCAGTCAAAGATTACGGTCTGTTCGAAGGATGAGTGTCAGCGGCACCTGTCAGGATAGCCAAACGTACGATGTTATTGCCCTTTCCAGATCCGTCCTCTTGCTCTGCAATACCGTGTAGGATAGCTCCGACAGTCCTGTCAATGTGAACGATTGAGAAAGGACCGGCCATCGTGAACAAACTCTAGACGCACCGATCAGGAATGGGCAATATGTCTACGCCGTTCTTGTCCTTCGACCAACAATCGTGAGGCACAATGAGCGAGATCTTGTCACTACCAGCGTTCCATCCAATCGGAGTGTCCGCTCGAGTACCATGGCCAGCGAAGAAAATGAGGATCGGGTCGCCTTTGCGAATAGAGGGGCGGGTGCGAAGTGCGTTTAGCTCGCGGAGAATAGCAACACGTGTCGCTTGCTCGTCGCGCAGATTGATGATTTGGTTTGGCGGGACGTTGAGCTCATCCTGTAAGTACTCCTCGATCTTATCTGCGTCGGCGACGCATCCTCGTAAGTCGACGATGCGCTCAGACTTGAACTTGTTGATGCCGATGATCAACGCATGAAGGGGAGACGGGGGCGTCCTATGTGCACTTGATCAGCAATCGACATCTTTGAACAATGCATACAGCCAGCTTTGTACGAACTTTTCCAGAGTCCGCGGCGTCGGCATTTGACTAGGTGGCGTCGGTTAGGGCACCTATGACAGCCAGTACCGCACCGCACTCACTCTTCCGAAGCTCCATTGGGGACCCTGTTCAACAAGAACTGTAAGTGCGAGATGATATAGACCATGGCTGAAGGCATGCGCACCTAGTGAGCTTCCATAGGGCTTCTTCTACGGAGTTGACCTTGACATGTGTATTAGTGACGGGTGAGAGGATATCCATGTTGGCAGGTGATGGCGGACGCGAAGGGAGTTGAGGGCTGCACAGACATTACACGGGGTGCCTTTATATGCAACGCAGGAGGACCATCTTTGGGGAAGCAATGCGACCGGTGCCGTGTCAAGGCCGGACAAGGACAAGCCCCTTCTACAGACGTCAAAGGCTGCTGAAGCTCATGCTGTGTCTAGAAGGTGGCAACATGCCTAATTCATCACCTTGGGTAGGCGCTCGGGAACCAATACGAACTACGCCACCACTACACCACGACTCGTCAGTGTCAAAGGGATTAAAGACTCCAAATGGGCACTTGAAACCTAAGAACGCCCTCGATCGCCCATGTGAAAGAGCCTGCGCCACGTATGGTGATCCCCGATGAAGTCGGAAGTCTTATCCGAGAAAGGTGAAGGGATATCTCAAGGGCTGCACTGTGTATCAAAGGCTGTATCGCAGTCAACAAAATGATTGACGCTGGGCGCAACTTGCCTTGAGGCTCACACGCGTGCCTGATAAGTTGGTGAAGGTAACAAAGCGGCCATCGTCTTTTGAATATGCCTCCAAAGGGAGAGACGTGCGCTTCAGGTGCCACTCCGCAAGAACAGTTCATTGCGGTAAATACGGGTACACGGAAGACGTCCAAGCACACAGTATGATGACCGTGGGACCCGGATCATGAGTTTCCGCTTTGGGGCCAGTTGGCGGGAACGTCGTACTCGGTCTGCAAAGTCATCATTACCCGACTTTCCTGAGCGACCAGGGCATGACTCACCAATCGGAAGAGTTCTGGAAGTCGTGGCCATAGGTCTTCCCTGTAATAGCGCAGATGCGTTTCAACAGCATCTTTGCATGGCGCGCATATGACGTAATCGTCGAAAATACTGTTTTCCTCCAATACCGTCCATGGACTGTCCCCTTCACGTATATGCTCACTGAGGTCCCGCCAGAGCTTCTTCAAGTCGTGCTCTCGACAGCGAGGTTTGGCAGAGCAGTAAATGAGAGCATTGTCGATATCAATGACCTCTGCTATATCCAGAGGGAAGCACGCCGCGATGTGCGTGCGAAGAGCAGCACTCCCAAGAAGTAGTGTTCGCATTTCGCGCGCATCCAAGGCGGAGAGATCTCCACAGCAGGCCTCTCTTCCCTCCACGATACTCCCAACGCCATAGTAGTTGGCAAGCTCGTAGAATAGATGCGGCAAAACATCGGGTATATGATAGTCGACGGCCATGCGTATGGCATGCCCTGCAGCGCTTGTCAATATACGCACAATCGTCTAGTCCAAAGCACTTACCAGCGTCTGGATAACTGTACAACCTTCTTTCTGGCCAAACTACCGCACTGCCGGCGTTTTCCCAACGTGCATCGTACACTTTCCATCTGGCTTCAGCATCGCGTAGATTCGGTGGCCAAGCTGCGCGTAGATCGGCCGCGAAGACGGCGTGTATCTGAGCCGCGTCAAACTTCTTGACCAAGCGCATTACCCCGGTGTACATTTTTGGAAAGTCGTATAATCTCGCTTTGCTGTCCATATGACGACGCATGAACCTATCCAAGGCTGATGTCAGCCAAAGGTCTCATGTCATCGCCCAGAAATGCGCACCCAGGCATGTATATAGCGCGAAGAAAGTCTGCAAGATCTTCCGGGTTATCTTGCATATCCATCACTGGCAGACCGTCGTACTTCTCAGACGAGGCATCGAGTAGAGCGGATGTGGAGTCGGCAAAAAGATCACGAAAGAAGCCCGCGTGCATTGCTAGAAGAGACTTGTGGACTTTGAAGAGGGTGTATGTCCGGTTGACGGATGAGTACGCGCGCAAAATGATAGTGCCGTCTGAGAAGAATAGTTCGTCGCACACAAGCGTCCGTGATGAGTCCCGACCTTCCAATCTGGCGCGCTTGAGGGTTTGAGGCCCTTCGCTCATGTTGAGTATCTTAGTTAGGGGTAAAAGCGAGGTGAGCGCAGGAAGCAAGGGCCAATCGTGCCACCGTGAGTGAAGGCATATGGACTGCCGCCGGCGCTGATCCTACTTTCTGATCGAAGCTTCCTTCGTCGGGCCTAGGAGACCATTGCCTGGTCGTCAATTCTTGGACGACACCTGCACGTCATGGCGGACAGCACATTGATTACTAGATACTACACATATTACCTACACTGCATACGGGCAGATTCTTCTAGGTCGAACGAGTGTTCATCCCCATCCGCGTACAATCTGCGCACTGTGGCGTGGTCGTGAGGCCAACCGAGTGTATGGCGAACCTGAATTCCGACATGACGACTGAAGGTGAAGGGCAGGAGAGCGTGCGTCGATAGTAGAGGCAGCTAAACACCATGTTAGAACAAGCGTCGATAAGGCGACAGGATGACATACCTGGGACTCGCCGAAGTCAAGATCCAAGCGTTCTCTATGTCTCCACGCCTTCCGGCATAGTACCATCGGCAGATAGGCTGGGGTCGACGAAGTGGTGATTGCACCTAGTGCATACAAAGAACAGGATCATACGCGTCTCCTTGCGCTTAGATTGATCCTGGAAGAACACCGCACTGAAGTGTGTACAGTCAGCATCGTCTCGTGCTCTTCGGGGTTCAATACGCACTCCTCGTTCGAGCATTTTGGGCACGGGATCACCGAATGAGCCTACAATATGTGTGAGAGAAGTGAGATCGATGCTGTAGCATAGCTACGCACCAGGGTTGTGTCCGCACCCAGATCCACGGTTACACCGACTTGCTCTCTGGATAGACGTTAGCCTGGACCAGAGCGACAAGGTATCTAGCTCACTTTGTAACGGTTAGCAAATCGTTACGGTATACAAGGGCATTGTCTACAACTGTGTTGTACTCGCAAATGCGACAAGCATAGACCATGGTGCGTCGAGTGGGGTCGGCCTTGGGATAAAGCAGATTATTGCAATCTTGGCAGAAATGCAGGGTGACTTTGGCGCTCTAGAGATATATGAGCAATGGCAAGTATAGTACAGCAGCGTAGGTACATACATCCGACATATTGAGCGATACGATATTGGAAGTTCAAGAATGAGGGTGGTGGTGGCGCGAGACAAGATGCACGACGCGCGCCGAATCGCAGCGCACACGTCTCCTCCCAAACGCTCACGTCGTCCGGCGCCACTCCGCTCGCTCATGTTTCTACGCGAGCGAGCCACATCTTCTCCCTCCGTAGCCATCGAGAAGGGTGGATACCGCCTACATGATCACAATACGCGACTAGAGAAGATCCGCTTGCGCGGCCCGACGAAGCTACGGACGGAATCGACGGCCAGCGCGACTGCACAAAAATCACTCAAATATGATCGCCATATCTCGATACTGCTCTTATTCTGCGCCCTGGCTGCAGTATCTTGCTTCAGTACTGCTTACTGGCTCTTCGTCACTGGTAGACGAGGTAAATCAAGCTCGGCCAATTGCATAAAATGGGTCACTAATATTCCGATGTAGTGTGAGGAGTCGCTATGATGGTCGCATTCCCCTGCTATTACATTGATCTCATACTGCTTTCTATCGCTATTCAACTTTCGCTTTCGTCATATCATCTCATATGCTGTCAATTGTACATGTCAGTTGTTCATGTATGGCTCTATGAGCTCCCTTGTTCTTCCGGACCGGGTGAACTATGACGGCGCCTTTTGGATGGCTCTTCGGTGCTGCAGATGGTGTTTGCGCCAAACTTTATACGATACCATCATGCGTCTGGGAACGTGCTCCTCCTCTTTCGTCCTCGCCACTGAGAATACAGGATCAATTGCGGCTCATCCATGCTTCTCCCGATTCTACTGCGGCGTACGTTCAAACCCACGCACTCTCCCATGCTATCCACTTACTGAATTCCGGATGGCAGGAACCAGTCAGAGCCCCGCTCGTGGGAGGATATGCCCACGCTGTGACGTTCTATCTAGATAACTTCTTGGCATCTAAACAACACGATATCGAGATCGTGGCTTACCATTTTACACTCTCTGTGTACTATAGACCTTCCTATCTGGCTTCAAAACGTTAACTCGCGGCGCTGGATTTGCTGTCAGGACGATAGACGCTATGTTTGGCCTCACCGACACCGCAGTGCCCGCAAATCGTGCCAGAATTGTAGTCAGGAGGGGCACCTCAAGGCAGGCTTTCTGCCTCGTTGCCGCTGACAGTTTCTATCTAGACTCATGCCATTCCCTCGAAGGTGAGAGCACATCGATGCGTACGCTATAAGTGTCGTAATCCTCCACGGAACGGTGGCGCAAGTAGAACAGACCTCGTACATCTGCGGTACGACGAGCGCCATAGGCCGCGTTTTCACACAGCCTAGTCCACCGAGCGATGTCTCCTTCTGGTGCCCGACGTCGTTATCGGCCTTCTTTCCAGCTCTCGTGGTTTCGCTTTACGAGAGGACCAGACCACGGCCGGAATCATGACGGCTGTACAGGATACGCGCCGCTTATAAGGCGAGTGTATCGATCGTGCGGGAATTCACGAAGATGGCCCGCATCTCTCTCATTACCCTCGCTTCTCTTGCGGCCTCGTTATGTGCCGCTCACGATGGACACGAACATGACCAGATACCCATGGACTACGTCCGATTCCCCTATCAGGCGAAGCTATATCCTGGAGATAATGATGGTACGTGACGCGCGCAACTACGATACACGGGCCCTACTGAGACTTAACCTACAGTGACTGCCGACTCCATCTTCTCCGGGATCACCACTTTTGCGAAGCTTCCTTGGGTGAAGTGCTTAGGCAAGGAGAGCGACGTGCCATTCGACATCGCCTTCCTTGGCGCACCCTTCGTACGAAAGCTTACCATCTTGTTACATCACACCATATTGACCTTCTACAGGATACCGCAACATCCTATCGTCCCGGAGCGCGCTTCGGACCCTCCGGTATCCGAGCAGGTTCCCGCCGCCTGACTCTGTATGGCGGATACAACGTCCCCTTGGCGGTCAACCCCTTCCTCTCAGGACTGCGCCTTGTAGACTGTGGCGACATCCCGGTAACGCCCTACGACAATGCATATGCTATCAAGCAGATAGAGGACGGTCACAAGACGCTCCTCCACCGCACACCCTTCTCCCCTCTCGGTAACGACTCGTTGACCGGCAAGCCGCTCGTTCCGTTGGGCATCGACGGCAAAAGCCATCCACGGATCGTCACTCTAGGCGGAGACCACACGATTGTCCTACCTCTGCTGCGGTCTATATCCTCTGCGTATGGCCCGATCTCGGTCATCCACTTCGACTCGCACTTGGATACGTGGAAGCCGAGCGTTTTTGGCGGGGCGCCCAGTGATCAAGCCGCCATCAACCACGGGACGTACTTCTACTGGGCCAGTCAGGAAGGGTTAATCAAGAATGGAAGCTCGATTGTGAGTCTCACGTTCACGCTTCTGCCCATCCTTGAGCTCAGCGCTGTCCATTTCGTAGCACGGCGCGATCCGCACCACTCTATCCGGCCCCGCGGACTATGAGAACGACGACGCGTCCGGCTTTCAGCGTATTGAAGCTCGAGAGATTGATACCCTGGGTGCGTGGGCATCATCTTGACGATGGCTGTCGTGATGCTTACAACGCGCATAGGCGTTGAGGGTATCATCAAGAAGATCAAGTCCACCGTCGGAGATAACCCAGTCTATCTCTCAATCGACGTACGTTCCATTCGCCTACGGACTTGCATCTCCCACTGACTGCTCCCCTTCTAGATCGATTCTATCGATCCCGCGTTTGCGCCTGCAACAGGGACTCCCGAGACGGGCGGCTGGTCGACGCGTGAGCTGCGTACGATCCTTCGTGGTTTGGACGGGTTGAAGATCGTATCCGCGGATATTGTCGAGGTTGCGCCGGCATACGACACGAATGCTGAGCTTACCACTATGGCGGCGGCAGATGTACGTGGACTTCTACCTCTTCCCTTTGTCCGTACTCAAGGCGGACTGCTAGGTTCTGTACGAGGTCATCAGCGTCATGGCGAAGACGCCACTCGGCAAGCTTCAGCCTGACCCGGAACCCACACATGAGACCTGAGAAACGCGAAAGAATGTATCGAAGCTAGCGTTCTCATGATATCAGATACACTGCAAGGGCTGTGTACAATATAAATCACTTTTCTCAATACACGCACTTACGACTAATGCGGCAGCGTGGGCTGAGCGCTGAGCGCTTAAGTGTTCGGCAACGGCCGAAGGATGATGCACTTTGGCAGGCATATCTCAACGACGCTTGCTTACGACCGCCATCTATCAGTCGCTCGCTGGTTACCGTACCCTTTTGACACAGCTCATCTTCCTTTGCATCTTCTACCTTGTATGGCGTGAGAAGTCCTTGGTGTTCGGTTCTTGGGACTCAGGCGCTTATTCGCATCCGTCGGGCGCTTCCATGTCTACGGAGGGCACCCTGCCCAACTACAACATACTCGTGGCCCGAATCTTCTCAGCTGGAATGCTTCAACGCGCTCGTAGAGATTGGTATCCCAGTCTGAACCGTTTACGGACCAGACGACTTCGCATTGGTAGCGGCGAGGTACCTGAGCTCGACACTCTCGAGAAGGCTTGGGTTGCGTTTGGTAGAGGGCTCGGACTCGACGCTGACAAGCAGCGCGCACGGCATGAGAAGGAGGCGCGCGGACGTGGTGCGTGGCGGAAATGCAAATACCATCACAAGAAGTCGGACGAGGTCGCGCTCTTTGCATGCAAAGGTTGCGGAGAGGTTCGATACTGCGGTCGGGAGTGCCAGAAGAGGTGATTGAGCTCTTCATTGCATAAAAGGGGCTCTGCTCATGGAAAGTACACAGTGACTGGTCGAAAGGCGGGCACAAGGCTCAATGCAAGAGGTTGAAATGATGGCGTGTTGTTCTCGTGCGAATCGTGTGCGCAGAGCCGCGCGCTACCGCTGTACGATAGTAGAAGTGGAATGAAGCGTTACACCCAATTGAAATCATATATTGCATATATGACGTGTATAAACAGTCGCATCGTGGACAAGAACAAGTCGAGATCATCCATTGACTTTGATCTCGATGTCAGACCCGAGAGCGCTCTCAGCGCTGGAGCTCGTCCCAAAGGTTGGGCGCTTCAAGCGGGTACCGCATCGCGTCTTGTGCCCTCCCGCACGCCAATCCCTGGTACCCCTTCATAAGCAACGGAGATCAAAGCGTGTCAAGGTATACGCACCGTCTTTGGCACTCACGGCCGCAGTACCGCACCTCTCCACACCCTTTACACCCCATCAACTTGGGTCCAACCCCCTTGACGCCGTGGAACTCGCATTCCCTCCACGCACACCCATCCCGCTGGACATTCTCCTCCACGTCCACGTCCTCGACATCGTCCTTCTCAACATCCTTCAAGGCGCGTCCTCCTCTAAGCACCTCCCGAAACGGGACGCATTGGACAACAACGCCGATCGCGTCCATCTGAGCGTCTATGCCGAAGGCCTGGATGCCGTATTGGAGCACCTGAAGGCGTTTGGCGAGGAAGACGACGTAGTCTTCTGGGACGAGCCAGGTAGGCCAGTTGCGCGTCGTCCATTGGTGAGAAGGCGCTAGTGGATCAGTCGTCTTGGCGAGCGTCTGTGCGGTGTGTGAGCGTTGGCCTAAGATGGTCGTTCGGGCGAAGAACTTCACCTCTTTACGGAAGGCGTCGAGTGCCTGAGGGCCATACGTCTTAACGATCTGATCGATATTCGCGACTTTGAGTCCGATGAGGGTACCGGCAGAGGGCATGGCAGTTGTCGGGCTGGTGTAGTAGCGGTCAGATGGGCGGATCAAGAAAGCGGCGAGTACCACTTCAAGGCGAGGTGCACGGGAGATGAGAGCAGCTCTCGATGAGCCAACTATATGTATGTGGGCGCCACTGGACTTTGAACGGACGCGGGCCAAGCATTGCGTTTGCATGTCGGACGAGACGATGAAGCTTTTGTTGAGTTTTTCGTACCACCAAGGACCATACGATGACTATGGGCAGCAATTTAAGTTGACGTTCGGATAGAAATCGTCCCCGAAGTATGGACAATATTCCCAGTTTCTCTTGCGCATTCGTGTGAGCTCGGGGATGCGTGCGTACAGGTGATGCGAGGAACCCGCCAAATTTGGCGGCAAAGCTGTTGAGTTCAAAATCGTACAGGGTTATAGTTTGAAGAATCGGTAGTTTGTATAGTATGTGCATATAGAACTGAACCGGAGGTGGTGGTAGAAGAACAACTTGAACAAGCGCAAACGCTAGAGGCCTCTTGCGGCCCGAGCCGGCCGAGTGGGCTCCCACGATCTCCTTCGATCCTCACAGTACGACGCGCGACTCTTTCAGCCGTCTGCACCGCGCCTTGTGCCCGCCCTTCACCCAATCACTACCGTATATACATGAGCGCTGTTCAATGGGCAGGGAGGCAGAGTAGAGAACATACCTTCTTTGACATACCCGCCCGCAATACCGCGCGTTTCCACAGCCCCTGCACCTCAACAACCTGACGCCACCCTCCGCGCTCAGCCTCTCACACCCCTTCCACGCGCAGCCAGACCTCTCTTGAGAGCCACCTCCACATCCATTCCCAAGTGGGAACTTCTGCTTCCGTATGAGATCCAACCCTCCAACGACCTCCGTCAGAGAATCGGGCGTGAAGAGGACCTCCGCGTCCTCGTCGACAGTTCCGTCCGGAAGAAGTAACCGCTGATGACGTCTGAGAAGCCACGGGATGAGCTGCTGCAGGTCGAGCCAGCAGCGCCAGTTATCGGCTGTCCAGAGCGAAGCGAGCGGGTCGGTCGTTCGCGCCAGCGCCTGGAAGTAGATACGCGTCAATGCGGGGAGATAGGACGAATATTCTCATCCTGCACGCACGAAGTCGAGATACTCTGCGATCGTGTCCCGCCCCCAGTACTCCACAATATCCTGCACGGCGGTGTCGTTATACACCATACCGCGGAACACGTTGGTGACACGTTGGTGAGTGGTGTGCTCCTCGAACATGGAGATTATCATGGGGGAACCATGCGGGTCCAAGAGGCTTAGCATGGTGACTGGATAGGGTAGATGCGGGAAAGGTTGACGATGGGCGTGTTGCGCTTCGCAGATGTATTGAGCCGTGTAATGCAATGCATAGGGGGGACGTCCCGCCAGCGGGTTTTGAGTGTCCGTCGAGAGGTTTGAGGCTCAATGTTCGAGTTCAACAATCGCCTTCCGACGTCGTCCTGCGTGTACAAGCATGTGCCATGCAGGCGTCCAACCAGGACAAAGACATCCATCATGAGTAGATTGGCTTCAAGACATATCTTGTAATACAAGCGGCCGAATACAGCAGGCTCTCCTCTCAACACGCGTACCGACGAAGCCCTCCAAATGGCTAAACGACCGCTAGAAGAAGGGACGGTTGAATAGGCCAGCTACTCAATATCCTCGTCCTCGCATACCCCATGAGCGGCGACATTCGTCGAGTCCTCCCCAGATCCGGACCCCGTATCTTCATCCGAGTTGTAGGGTCTGAGCATCAGACGTCTTCCGCACCGCGTTCTGTGTCCCCCCGTTGTCCAGTCCCTGCCACCTGATCTTCAGCGACGGAGATCTCAAAAACAGAACATCCACGCACCGCCTCTGGCATTCACTCCCGCAATACCTCGCGTCTCCGCACCCCTTACACGCCCGCGCCTTCACATTCCTCTCCGCCGCCCGCGCGCGGTCGTGAAACGCGCACCCCCTCCACGCGCACTGACACAGCTCATCGATGATCTTCCGCGCGTGACGTACGGCCTTGTCAAACGGGACGCAGAGGATGATGGACACCAGCGCTGCGGCCTCGGATATCTTGACTTCGGCGTCGGCCCGGTGTTCGTACATCTGCTTGTGGAGCGTTCGGCCGAGGAAGAGGATGTATTCGCCGATGTCGAGCCAGCAGCGCCAGTTCTCGGGCGTCCAGAGAGTTGAGAGCGGGTCGGTCGTGGTGGGGAGTATCTGGACGTGGAATCAGAAACGCCGCCAACTTGTGATAGACGCGAGAAGAGAGGCACGAAGGCATACCGATTTGAGGAAAAGTCCGAGCCTCTCGCTTCCGTAGGTGTCCACGATCTGCTCGATACTCCCAGGCTCGCGGGGGTTCTTAAGGGCAGAAGTAGAGGACATAATGGGTTGATGAAGCTGTGTCTGGTAGAATGTGCCGCCCGCGGACAAAATGAGAGAAGCAATGGGATGAGGAGAAGCGATGAAGACGAAAACAGAATGTGAAGTGGCGCCGTGCAGACGAGAGGGTCACGTATATGAACAGATGCCGGCCAAGCTTGACAGGACACGACATCAACACGACATGATGCTAGTTCGAAGTTGAACGAGAGGAATACCGTCCGCCTGCGCCTGTTCCATATTCATGTCAAAGCTGAGTGCGAGAGCGCTTCAGGCCTCAGGCGCATTGAGCGCATGAGGAGCACGTTAAGCGCTCACCCACTGACGCCCAGTCTTTGGCAATCTAGTCCACCGATCGATGCATAGCGACTCCATTCCACCGTTACCGAAGACGACATAAGATATAAAACATGAGAAAGAGAAGATCCTGTATAGCGAATGATGACACAAAATAAGCGCCTAATCAAAGAGATCGCATCGCCGCTCTAGCGCTCGCCCATTTGCGCGAGATAATCCGAGAGCTAACGACGTCCTCATCAGCAACACATACCACAATCAAGGCAAGCGAAAAACACACCTTGAGCGCCCCAGTCCTCAACGACTCTCCCAAATTCTGCACGTCCGGGTTCGCCATGACCCGCGCGACCGCATCCCTCGCAGCGCTCTCCAACCCCGCCAAGCTCCCATCGCCCAGCAGATTGTCCTGCCCCCTCATCGCGGCTTCCTCCTCCTCGTCCCGCCCATAGTACTGCGCGCTGGAGATCGACGTCGCGCCCTTGAACTGCTGCAGCCTCTGCTGGCCCTCGGCGACCGTCTGCGCGTCGTAGTCGCCCCGCTGGAAGTACATGTCCGACGAGATCGCCTTTTGATTGCCGAACCTGTCGCGCGCGGTCGTAGGTGCATCATCGACAACGGGCGAACGGCTGCTAGACGGCGCAGCGGCAGAGGCAGACGGCACACCGCCGAAGCCGAGCCGCTTCATGCCCATACCCAGCCTCTCCATGTCCTGCCCGCTCCCGTTCGGCTTCGGCGCGACCGGCGCAGACGACGTAGTGGGCGCTTTGCCGACGGACTGCTGCGCGCGGCTCTTGAGCTCGAGCGCCGCGGCGTCCTTGCGCGCTTTCTCCTCGGCGGCCTCGCGCTCGCGGTCGTAGCCGAGCTGCTTGATCCTCTCGGCCTCTTCCTGCGCCTTGCGCTCGGCCTCGGCGAAATCCACCGGCCCGGCCTTCTTCGCTCCAAGACCACCGAGCTTGCCCTTCTTCGCCGGCCCCGACGCTGTAGTGGTAGTAGGCGCAGTCGACGTCGAGCCGAGCCGCGATGCGCCGAGTTTAGCTGGGCGGGCGGCGGAGCCGGCGGAGGAGGAGCGGAGGGAGGCGGACGAGACTGTGCGCGGGGCGGCGGGGACGGCCGAGGCGCTGCGGCCGATGATGGGCGGGCCGGCGGGCTTGGGCGATGTGGCGGGCGTGGATTTGGACGAGGTCGCGGGCTTGTCCCATGAGGAGAAGAAGTCGTCGTCGTCGGCTTTCGCTTCGGGCGCGGGTTTGGGGGCTTCCATGCCTTCGACGAAGATCCCGTTCGGGTAGCTGTGGATGATGCCCAGATCAGTATATGAGTTGATTTTCGGGTGTTGATGAGTGCGTACGCAATGGCGTCCTCGCGAACGCGCTTGGCGAGCTCCTCCTTGTACAGCTCCGCGACGCGGCTCGAGTACTTCTTCTTCGTGTCTGAATCTTGCAACAACGACGCGCCGCCATGTTTGTTGAAGAACTCGTTCGCGGACCCGTTCCCGCCGACCTTCATCGTGCGCAGCTGGTTCAGCTGCCAGCTGTCCAGGTTCGTCGATCTGATCGAGGATCCAGATATCAGCATTCCGCTGTGTCATAGGCAGTAAATGTAGTATTTGGGCGCACCGGACGAAGGAGATGTGCACGCCCATGTTCCGGTGCACGCTCGAGCAGTTGAGACAGATGTACACGCCGAACGTGACGCTCGACCACGTCGGGTTGCGCGCATGGCAGTCGAAGCACGTCTGCGCAACATTTCCAAGTCCAACATCAGCTCCCCGCACGTACATACATACACACATAAAGATCAGAAGACGTACCAGGTTCGCCTTTTGCGCGCGCAGGACCTTGAAGACCTGCTCGGTCTCTGCCTTTGTAGGGTCGGCCATGGTAGATCTACGGGAAAGGTGGAGGGGAGAGGATGGGCGCTTGGCGCAGGTTGCGGAGTCGTGGTCGCGCCGGCTGAGGCGTGGCGTTCGAGGCGCAATATGGCAGTATCTTCGCACGGCCGTCCCACAGCCGAGTCTGGCTCCGGCGCGCGAGTTGACCTTGACTTCCAATCAGCCACCGTGTCCCTCCTGCGCGTACGAATATGATGCCCGTAGATCCGTTCAAAATTATATCAAGACGCAGGAAATGGCACGCGCCTGCGCTCGCGGCTCTCTTGCATCTAACTTCGGCATTGACAGACCGCTGCAAAGCGACGCGCGGATAGTGTTCCTCAGCCTCTGGTTCGACTTCGAACCGCTGGCATGTCGTGCCCTGTCGAGCTTGGATAGCATCTGCTTATATATCTGACCATTTTGCTAGCATGGTGCTGATCTGCTTCTGACCCTCCCTCAGCCTCCGGCTTATTCTCTCACCCTACCCACAAGCGATACCCTACCAAACTCCCCGAATCAGCCATGTCCTCAAGTCTACCGTTTTCCGCAAGCGGAAACGTTCAGATAGAGAACATCGAAGAGATCGTCTTTGCATACGGAGGCTTGTGGCTTAAAGGATTCCTGGAGGAGGTGCGTGCAAGTGCCCGCGCCGATAACCCCATCGGTCAGTCAGAGCGTATCTGACCAAGTGCATCCAGGCCCTCATGACTGCGACCGACCCGCTCTCCTCCCTCTCAACACCAGACAACTGGCGCTGCTGGCTTGACCCCGAGCGCTACGTCTTTTACCTCGCGCGCACGCTGCACCAGCTCGTGAGCCGCGTCACCGAGGACCAGGGACCGTCCGTTCGGCGAGGATCCGGAGGTGACCGCTGTAGAGCTGCGCTCCGTCCTTCGCTGTTTGCGATTCGAGGACATTATGCTCAATATAAGAGATCGCCGTGTCAGGACTCATATGCGCCGGTGCGGGTGGACACAGTGCGTGTTTTATAAGGGAGGGAGGGCGAAGCGGAGTGGGTATAAGCTGCGGGTGTGCAAAGGATGCGGGGACGTGAAATATTGCACCCGCGAGTGCCAAAGGCGGTACGTGACGTTGCTGCTCGAATTCGCTCTGCGCTGACGATGTGTATTCGTGTTGATAGGGACTGGTTGGGGCCGGAAGGACACAGAACGCGGTGCGGGCGGCGGCTGACGATGGCGCCTTCCTGTTTGGAAGAGGGCGTAGGGGGCGTGGAGTCCGAGCATGGAGAATGCTCTTCATGGTTAACGAGGATGATCGACACAGCAATGCAGCAGTTCGAGTAGCTAGTCTATACTTTCGCTCGGTCCTGTACCTGTCCTGTTTGTGTAGGTCAACCACGTTCGCGCTACTGCGGCGAAGGCGTACGGCATCACTCCGCTCATATGTAGTCACCACTACGGCCCATCTTTTCTACTCCACGCAACCTATGATCAATCCAAGTCTCCTTACAGGTGCTGTACTGGACGTGAATATCCGAACAATCCGCGGTTATGTATATTGGGAGCATCGGATACCGTATACGGGAATGTGATTGATGGCGTTACCCAGGGCGACGCGCCTATGTACACGAGTTGCCGGAGTTTACGAGACACAGATGCAGACGTTGTGCTCAGCACATGAACATGTGCGTTGATGAAGCTAGCATATCCGTGGTATTCATCTTATGCCTTGATCCTCTTACAGTATGCTTTATGTCCGCCCTTCGACCAATCGCTGTTAGATAACGAAGATTAGATCGCGCCACAGGTCAACGAGAGAGCACTACGCACTTTCTCTGGCACTCGCGTCCGCAGTATTTGACTTCCCCACAACCTTTACACGTCGATAACACGACGTCGCCGATATTCTCACGGTGGTATTTGCATTCCACCCAAGAGCATCGGCTCCGCATCGCTTCTCTATGTCGCGTACGTTCCTGATCAATGATCAAACCCAGGGCTGTTCCAAAAGCAACCCAGCTCTTTGCGAGCCTTTTCAATCGGGAGGCGTTGACGTTCGGACCGGCGCGACGTATAGTGATCTGCAGACGTTGCAGGCTTGGCCACCATTCTGAGCGGGCGCACGACGTTACGTCGTTTTGGAAGGAACGCAATAGGGCGGAAGCCTCTTCCATATCTCTTATCGTCCATCCACCTATGAGGTTCTCCAACTTCTCGCATACATCCGCATCTGATCTTGTTGATTGAGAGCTGATACTACGATGCATGTCGCGGTAAGACTGACCTATATTGTTTTCGACTCGACCACCACCATCCGATGCAAGTAATAGAACACCGGTTGCAAAGATGTGCACTAGGTCCCCTCCATCTATGCCGAGACGGCCGGTGGATTTCCCGCTGAGCACATCTTGAGCTGTGGCACTGTACTCTCTGGGAGCTTGAATGAGCCACATTCGACGGGAGTAGAGGGCAGGCTCACGAGATGTACGTCAGAGCTGTGTTGGCAGACGTTAACTTCTCTTCGCGTGTTCCTACTCCGGCGCAGAGCCGGTCTAGTAACGTAGACACTTCGTGAATGAGCGAGTAAGGCTCATAGAAGGGGAAAAGTTCGCGACAGTTCGTGAAGGTAAACAAGAATGGAGATAGATGAACGAACTCCTGGGCGCTATCGGATCGCACGAATTCTTGTTTGATCTTTGATACGACTTTCTCAGCAACAGCGCCAGAGATCCCCTCGTCTCGAAAGAATTTCCGGCAGGCTTCTTGGTCCACCGCCATGAGACCCATGACGGCATTGCGAATGGGTTCCAAAACCGGACCGTCGTCGCCGTACTGTAACCATGCGTGCAAGCCAACGTGCGGCATATATGTATTCAAGTAAGGCAATTGGCCCCTATAGGTGGTCAGTATGAGCTGTTACCTTTGACCACTCAAGAGTTACGCACTGATCAATGTAAAGGTTACCATAACCCGATAACAGCTGAACGAGAGGCTCTTGATGGTTCTCTTGTCGATCCGCATGAGTTAGGAGGGACTTCCACTGCGTTTTTCTCTCCCAAACACTTCGCCACAGTGCTTTTGCACGGCCATTCAGCACCTGCACCACCTTCGGATCTTTGTATTTCCTCGTAAGCTGCACGACCATAGCAGTGCTCCTCAAAATGGGCATGCAGAAGTACTGGTGCAACATATAGAGGGAGTCAGCGATGTGTACCACAGCGCGAGACATCACTCGAAGACATGTAGTGCCGCACGTACCCAATGGCTCTGCCAGAAGTCCGCACGCATGATGATATCAAGGCAGACGTTCGCGAGATCTGCCCGTACAAGTCTCCGCTGCGGCTCTTGAGCCCAGTCCTGATCGACCGCTAGGACGCAGAGGAACTTATCGGCCCATTCGTAGAGTTCGTTGTTCTCCTGCCCGATCGGAGTCTCGCGATGCAGCCGACGCAGCGTCTGTATGGCACCGACGGGGTCTTTCATGAGGGGACTTATATGCGTCACGAACTTCACCGCATCCGACCTCAAGGCATGGAATGGACCCAGATCACCGCCTAGGTTCGACGTTGACATTTTACCACGGAGTTTCGTCGCGCAGCACGTAGTACGACAGCAATCAGGAGTGTGGGGATTGCAGATTCAGAAAGACGCAATATGTGCTGGCGTTTGCAATAATGGCTGATGATATTTGAGATGGAGTCGGGGTACGTGAGTAGTACGTGCGAAGGTCGTTGGTGATGATGATGGTCAAAAGCAAGCACGTACGGACGCGTGTCCTGCGCTTTCCAAGCCGGCATCAGATCCTGTCAGGTCACGTTCGATTGAACGCGCCCACGTGAGTATCTTGATATAGTTTCTCTCCCGAACGCACCATCCCCAAGGGCGCATGACATTGAACGCATTCGTATTCTAAGTCGTGTACTTGGAAGTACGCTTTGCGGCTACCACGCCTGTGACAATCTTGCGTCGTGGCACTGCACGTGGAGTACACATGAGGTGTGGCAGAAATCAGGCGGGCGTCAAAATGCAACCTTGAAAGCTTGAACCGTGACCACCATCAGTAACCCTCCGAGTACTCCACCCCACTATAGGTCTTGCGTCTGGGTTCTTCCCGCCACCCGCTCGTTGTGATCTCATCTTCGTCATGTCAAACACGACTAGATTAACCACTGCTGGTGGCACCGGGGAGTCCGTGTTTGAGCTTGGTTTCGAACGCGCTGCACGTGCTGATGTACGGGTTCTCTACGTCGCGTTTTACTTGGTGTCACTAACGGAGAACCAACGGGCTGCATCTTTGTCATAGATTGTTGCTCAACTCTGTACTCTGCGTAAACCACAGGCCCACTTGGACGACCGTTTTGTCTTTCCAGCACCGCGGAATGCAAAGTTCCAACCGCCTCTCATGCACTATGGAGTGGTGCTCTCCAAACAAGAGCTACTGCGCTGCGTCAAGCGACTTGGGATCACCCCAAGGGTACATGATTTCAGTGGAATAGTGGGCGTTGTCGTGGATCCCTCGTACGACCCTACACAAAACTACGGCTACGAGCGTGACTGCCGCCAACAGTTGCTGTTGTACCTGTACGAGCAACCTGAGATCCACAAGTTGGCGACAAGCTTCGAATTCAAAGAATGCTTCGTCCCGGACGATGGAGGTCTTGTGCTGTCTTTGTACACGAACTATTCTCGGGCGAAGAAGATATGGAGCGTCGAGCGCAAAAGGAGGGCTGCAGAGGCTAAGTTCGCCGAGGTGGTATTCCCGGATCTCGATAGTGAACCGTGTTTCAAGTGGTACTGGGATAAGAAAGCATGCGGGATTGGGTGCGTTCAAGTCTCAAACGCCGCTCCTAGTATCCTATTCGTCCTCTGACCTCCTTGCAGGTATTGCGCTCCTTGTGATGAATACAACATCTGGCCCATCTCCGAGACCCCCGGCTGGACTCGAGAAGTCGACCATACGTATCATTGTCGAGGACGCTTGTGGACAAGATTGCCGTCGGCGACGGAAAGGTCCGGATTTGGATGTTCCTGATGGATGCAGTAATAATACACGTCCTGCTTATGCGTATGTATCAAAAACGACAGACAGGCGTATGATAGCTACTATTACTGTACACATGCGAGATGCAACAAACGAATGATGAGTCGACAATAGGACAACGTGACGAAAGAGAGAGAGAGGCAGGTCATAGAGGTAGGTAAGTAGACTGTCCATATCCAAAGTCCGAGCGTAAGGAGAGTCAGCGAGATGCGGTGAGGATGAGGATGAAGTATGATCAGAAGCGGCGATGGAGATATGATATGATGCTGTGCTGTGCGACTTTGGGTTAGTACTGGATGCGGAGGGTACGGATGCGGGGATAAGATGAGCGATAGAGGTATGGTATAAGAGAGAGCGGGGGGTAACATGCGACAACTGGCCAGCCGCACAATCCGACAAGACTACGTCTTGCGCCCCCTCTTACTCCCCGCCGGCGGATCCTGCAAATCGAACGCCCTGCTCCTCCTCGCAAGGAAATCATAATCGTTTGCCTCCATGATCGCCGCGGGCGGCATATAAACTCCCGGCCCGTCCGCGAGCGATCCAGGTCTCGGACTCTCAAGTGGTCGTCCTCTGCTGAGTGAAGGCGATATCCTCGGCCCGACACCGGACGAAGACGAAGGGTTATTGGCGAGATCGAACGAGCCGTGCATAGGCGATGGCGTGCCATTCCCAATATCGACGAGCATACTCCTCGTCCGACTCGCTGAGCGTCCACTCCGACTTGCAGTTCCGATCCCGACCATACTACCCCTCTCGCCCTTGCCCGCCCCGCGCTCGCCCATCTCGCCCACACCACCCACACCCTCCCCACCACCGCCATTCGACCCCGAACTATGGCTCGCCCGATGCTTCATAAGCGGCTCCGTCACGCCCGGCCCCCCACTCGCGCTCCTCACATGGCTCCTTCCAATCTCGGGCGAGTCGGGCACAGGAAGCGTCGCAGTCGTAGGACTGTCGACCGCAACGGGCTGATACGGCTCGTATATCATCCCCGGCGGCGGATCGTACGACGCTCCTCCACCGCTTGCTCCGCCATCCATACGCTCGACCGTATCGCTCGTGACGGTCGTCCGCCAGCCGGACGTATCCCACGGATCAAGATTCAAAAACCCGCCCACGTCGTCCTTCCCGCTCTCTCCGTCCCCAGTGAGCGTCTTATCGTGGTACGTCCCATCAGCGCCCACTCTCGTCCGCGCCGAGTCGTCCGTATAATTGCTCGCGACCATCCCGCGATAACTCGGGCGCTTCCTCAGCTCTCCAAACTCCATGCCTCCTGCATCCTTCCTATCGCCCTCGCCCAGCCCTCCGCCCGCTTCCTCCGCCGCGACGCGTTTCCGCCACCGCCGCCTCATAATCCAAAACCCGACGCCGAACAGCGCTGCACAGAGGCCCAAGAAGCAGAGGATGCCGATGAGGACTTTAATCCCCACGCTCAGCCCATGCGCGTCGTCCTCCGCCGCCGCCGCCGCCGTCGGGAAAGAGCCCGTAAGCGGCTTCCCCTGCACGCGCACCTGCTCAAACTCCTCCAGCGCCCTTGTCACATTCAACAGGTTCATAATCCCCAAATGCGGATTCGTGTCCTCGCCCGTCATATTGGGAAACGTGCCGTTGGCATAGGGTTGATCGTACGCGAGCACGGTGTACGTGTTGCGCAGGAAGGGCACGCCGAGGATGAGGTCCGCGACGTGCGTGTTGGCGTCTAAAGCTCCGGAGGCGGTTTGGATTGCGCCGAGGCAGGAGGAGCTAGAGGAGGAGGAGGATGAGGAGTCGACGGCGTAGGTGAGGTCGAGAGGGTGGAGTGGCTGTTCGGGGATGTTGTAGAGCGTTATTGTCATGTTGATCGGCGTCGTGCAGGGCACGTAATCTGTCATGCCAGTCAGGATTCACGCATCCCAGCATAAATAGGTATAAAGAGTACACACAGTTCCCATCCTGCGCCGGCCCGATCCCCAACGCGCCATATATCGCATTCGCAATATCCGTCGTCGCCAAAATATACGGCACGCCCGTATCCAGCACCGCATTCGGAAACGCGGACCCGCTCGTGCTCCTCGGCAGCGATATCGGCCTCTGCGTCCCGTTCACATACACGTCGATCCCGCGCACGATGCTCTCCCAGAAGTACACGCCCGCGCTGTTGCGCACCAGGCTCGTGTAGCTGATCTTGGACGGGTCAGGCACGAGCGCGGACGGGTGGCGCCCGATGCCGAAGAGCGAGGGGATGTCGTCCATGCCCGGCCGCTCGAGGGCGAGGGAGAGGAAGCGCGCGGCGGGTGCGTCGGAGGCGGGCGTTATGCCGAAGAGGTTGGACGCGAAGGTCGCGCCGTCGGCTGTGTTGCCGTCTTGCGCTGGGATCAGCTGCTCGATTATCGAGTTGAGCGGGAGCGCTAGGCCCAGCACGCCAGAATAGGCGCTGTCGAGCGGTTCGGATTCGAGCGATTCGACGGCGGCTAAAGGGAGGAATAGGAATGATGGGTCAGATCGTTGTTACAGCGGTTGCGGGACGGGAGATGGGGAATGAATGACGCACCGAGCGCCTGTTGGCTGATGCTGTACCCGCCCATGTCCAGCTGATCCCAGTATATCGGCCCCGTCGCATTACCCTGCAGATACTGGATCCCGAAATCCTGGCCCGTAGGTGTAGCGGACGATGGATCGTACAACTTCGTCTTCTGGCATATACTGTCCGTGCACGCTTTCGCCGCTAGCCACTGTAAACGGAGCAACCGGTCAGATCGGACTATGTATGCGTGGGAGAGAGTACAAGCGGGCGTCAGAGTCTATTCGCGTTTTACGCGCTTAGACGAGGCGTTGGGTCGTTGTGCGGCGTAGACCGACCGCGATTCTCAGCGGACGGAGTTCCACCACCGAGCACAATAATAATAATCCGCGCACGACGATCCAAGCGAGACTGTATGTTGGAGCACTGACCAAGTCTGAAGATCCGGTGTCGACCTGGAGATGGAAAGATTGTTGCTGGTCGTCCGGTCCGAGCGAGATGGGGAGCGTGTACACCCTACATCACTACAGTCAACTTCCGAATACGACATGTTGTAGAAATAAATACGCACGATTCTTGCACGCCATCGCCGTCGAGGCCCATGGGTATGACGATCCCGTCCGCGCCACCGCTGCCCTCCGTGTCCGCGCGCCGCGTGAGCCGCGGCGTCGACCTGTGCAGATATATCATTGTTAGTGTTGAAAGCCAGTGATGACCCGCGGGCTACGGTGACGCACCTCCGCTGTGCTGTCCTCCGCCTGCTCCCGCTCGACCGCGGCCATGTCCTCCGTCCCGCACCCGCGCTCGACGACTCGGCGGGCTGCGCTTCCCATGTTGTCACCGCCATCCAGCGACGTATGTTTTCCCAGAAGTTATCAAGTTCGAGTTCGTGGACGACGACGACGTCGCGTCGTGAGAGATGAAAGAGGTTCGAGGGAAAGGAAGGGTGCGCGTGTGTTGGGCGTGTGTTGTTGGTAGAAGGTAGATGGGCGAGAACAAGCGCTGGCGGTCTTCCTACGCCGGCGTGCAATTCAACAATCCCGAAGCGCCAAGGTGATCTCTGCTAGCCCGAATATTTATAGCTCCACTCGCAACTGATGCAGCGGCCGTGCTAAATGAGTGAGGGTGCAAGCGAGTGCCGTGCGTTGGGGTACACGTCGAGGGTGCTCGTACGACGGCGGGATGGAGGGTGCAGAGACCAAAACGCGGGGAAGGAGGAAGAGTCGGTGTCCGGCCCGAGGACAAGCGCCTGACTTTGTTACCATAAAGGGTAATTCTGAGTTCCTGAATTCGCGGCGCCCGCAGCACCGCCTCTCTGCCTCGAGCTCGCTCAATTCAGTCTTTCTTCTGCAAACGACCATCGTCGCTTCTATGTATACATACTTTCTGCCGTGCTCGTCGGAGTTCATGCAACTCGCCAGTAGGGTACCAATTCAACTCGTTGAGGGAATCCTGGATGCCCCATACCAAGACCTCGCGCGCTCGGATCTGCGCGCCTCTGCCCTCGCAACGACGCCCGCATAATTGACAGATGCCTCCTCGCTCCAATCATCATTCACTCAGCTCGACCCGCGGCATCCTTGGATCTCCGTGCATGGGTCTACTTGTCTACTTCTTGCAGAACGACGAAACGGATTCAACAGACCGCGTATCTCATGGCGGCGAAGTTTGGCCATAACATCCACCTCTCTGACGCGTATCTTATCCGTCAGATGGCCGACTCCGTGCAGCCTAACCAACACCCACCAGATGCTACCCACTGCTGTTTTTTTGCTTCTCATCACCCGCAGCCCGACCGGTTCCTAAACGACCAGACAGCCGACGCTGGACGCCTATGCCCCACTCGTTCTCCAAACTCCGCGAGGGAGAGTGCGCGTGGCGTCATCTGAACGCCCAACGATCAACGTTCGTCCGGATGTATGTAGCTTTCATCTACGGTCAAAACAGCGTCTACCAATCTACTGAGTTAACTCCCCGTCCGCATGCGTAGGCCCTCGCCGCTTGACCTGTATGCTCCGCTCAACGTCAGCATTCGTTAGCGCATGTGTTGCGCAAAGATCTGGCCCACGTCCTCGGCAAAGATGGACCTACTGGGTGGTCTGCATGATGCAGTCTTCAATACCTTGATCTCTGGAAGAGCATACCAGACAGTATTTGAGATCAAGTATTCTGAATGATCTGGCGTACGCTTCGTACTTGTAGAAATCGGTATACCTTTGTCTGTGCGTATCTACGCGCGAGATTGACTGATGGCGAGGGAAAGCGCAGGGCTGTAAGATGCGGCTAGTCGGCGAGCACTTGTGTACGCGCGCGTCTTCTCGCGTGACCGTGTCCCACGTCGGAGGGTGAAGCGCGCCAACCACGATCGTCGCTTGTGTTCTGCCATCACCATCGTTTGACAGCAGAGGTTGGGATAGCCCCCAGTGTACTTGATGCAAACGTGCAAGCACTATTCCCGAAATCGGTGGAACAACGACCTATCCTCCGCTCTCAAACTTGCGTCTGAATCCAGCTCGCTCTTGATACTGCACGGTTTCACCAGCGAGGCTCGCGCGGAGCGCTCGTGCCAAACTCGTGCTATATGTTTTCCATGGCTGATGTCCGCCTCAATGGCGGCGACACATAGATTTCCGACGCTGAACAAGAGGCGCTCTCCTGAGCGCCGGAGAATCGCCATGCATAGAAGATCGCTCTCGGACTTCCCTTTTGGCTGCTCACTTCGAAGCTCGCCCTCCACTGGTAGTGCGCCTGCCAGAAATGCAATGCCGCGCGTGCAGTTACTCTTCTATTCACGCGTGGCTCAAGGCGACCGGCGAAAGGGTGGTCGCGGCGGCCTGACCTTGCTCTCAACCCCCACCTTCTCAGCGCTACCGTTCACGATGAACATGTCGAAAGCCGAACTGATACAGTACTTTGGTATCTTCAGCCCTCCCCGAACATATGAAGAAGATCTTGTCCCAATCCGGAGAGACCCCGCTGCGACAGTCGCTTTCATGCGCCTGCTCCATGCGGAAACGTCACTTGGGCGGGAAGACGGCATGTTCTATGCCTTCTCCGACAGAGTGGCGACGGTCCTATCAGAGCGGAACCTGGGTATTGGGACCTGGAAGAAGTTTGTCCAAGCCGGTGTGATTGACCTCTGCCTGGACATAATCATGCGGGAGGACTTTTGGCGAGGCCCTTTCGTACGTCGTGATCTACCGTCGCTTCGTATCACTTACTTATTCCTTATGAGCAGCTTTTCTGCAATGCCACTATAGTGGGGACGTCAGCTGTTGTAAGGCTCGCACATCAATCCAAAGACCCTGCAGCTATGAGCGCCCTGCTGTCTCGCATGTCCAGCCTCTGGAGATCTATATGGGAAAGAAGAGCTCAATGGAAGTCCCTCCGGTCGCATTTGGACATGCAAGACAACCTCCCTGAGCCCATATTGGAACTATTCTGCGAGTATATCAGTCTCCATTTTACAAAGTCCGTCCGTCCCTCTTCCCAGGCTTGAACTTGCTAATCACTTCATGACTAGGGACAAGAGGCCCCCATCTTATGAGACGTACATCGCGCATATCGGACTGCACGCGTGGGTAGTCTATGGCCAGCAAAAAACGACGCTCGGTATTCCTGAAGCGCTTTCTTGCCTCGTCTACTTCGAGCCTAGACAGGCCTTACAGGTGGTCATTGATTCATCACCGTCCGAGGCTGAGGCCGATGCTCTCGCACTTCGCATTGCGCAAGAGTTCTCTAGAGTCCAGAACGCAGATATGCTGCTCCCCTGTGCATCTGTGCACTTCACTCTCTCGAAGTTCGCTGGGATAGTACCGTACTACGGCACCCACGCGCTTATAACCGAAGCTTCGTCCATGTTGGGAAGGATCAGTGTCTCAGTGAGTCGAGGCGTCATGGACGGATATTATACCAGCTTTCCCGTTGTCCTGGCCTATGTCGAGTAAGCCTACACCTTTCCCCCTCGCCAAAAGCTATACTAAGCACCGCTTGCTATCAGGCAATACACCCAAGCCGCGAAGAGAATGCTTCTCAACGATTCCTCTAGTCCGCTGGGAATGCGCGGGGAAGATCTTGTGAACATCTTCGGCGCGGGTATCTGCTTCCTTGCACTGGACGCCGGTGTCTCAGTGCCCGCTGGCCATAGTTGTGTCGGTGCAGGTAAGCCGCAGACATCCAATGGCATAGTCGTGATATTGACAGCATACATGTGCTCAGACACGTCTCTCTGCGACAAGGCAGGCGCGAGCTTGCGCGTCTGGACTCGCTTCTACTCCGAGGAACACAAGAGTAACGACTTTGCGAACCAAGGCAGTCACTCCTCTCGGGCGCGTGTATTCTGCAGCGATATGAGGAGTCGTGCTCGCGCGATCTGGTGGCCTAGCTTGCATCAGATGCAAACTGCAGTGGCTCGCGCGGGACACAGCGCCAAGCCAGAACTGAAGAACGTCGTCGGTGATTGGGCGGCTCTTGGTAAAGCCCTCGGTCTTGATGCTGTCAAGGAAAGGGCACGTTTCGAGAGAGAAGCCCGAAGCCGATGCGCCTGGCGCGATTGCCGGTATTACCACGAGAAGCCCGATGAAGTTGCACTCTTGGTGTGCAAGAGATGTGGCGAAGCGCGCTACTGTGGTCGCGAATGCCAGAGAAGGTACGTCGCATACCCATCTTTCTACCTTCTAAGCCTCCATCGTCTGATTGCACGGTAGCGATTGGTCTAAGGGTAATCACAAGGCACGGTGCAGGAGATTGATGTAACGTTATACCGTGTAGCTAGACGTTATGTCTTTGCTATGTATCTTGGGCTCTACTGATCAGAGATGAAGTCGACGAGACAAAGTGTTTAGAACTCACGTGGGCGTGTTCGACGTCATGTGCGAAGCGTCTGCGCAGTTGCGTACGCGTTTTCTCGCGTGACCGCGTCGGAGCACTGTACCCTGTCCTTGCTCATCGACCTCGAGCACTTTCGACGTGCCCAGTAGTGTTGCCTAGCGCGCCGTATGCGCCGTTCTATCTGAACCCGTTTAAGCGCAAGAGCGGTCAAGTAAGAAAGAACATTCCTGAGCTGAGACTTCCACGTGTGCGCCACAAGGATGATCTGCGCGGAGCGCGTTTTACCCAGCTCAACGCGGCTTGCCTTCCTACCACCACCTTACAGTATACCCCGTAGATGCCGCGTCGCAAAGTTGCTCCAGACGCGGTGGTCGTTAAGCCTACTCCCAAACATGCGGCCGGTTCTCTCGACGCGTCTCATCCCATGTTAGGTGGCCGTAAGATCAGCCCGTTGCATGCCGACGGGCGCGTGCCGGTGTATACGAACATGCAAGACTTCTTGAGAGACTTCGGGCACGTTGCTGCGGAGCCTACCATAGACGGAATATGTCATACCCTGGCTGAACGCGCGCGCGGGGCAAGGAGCAAGGAGTTCACTAACGCCGTGGCGTGGGTCAACGATGTGCTCGTGGGGACTCGGGAAGAGATGGGCGCGGAGACTTGGAACGCTGTGTTATCGAACCGGATGGACGAGCTATTGCATGATATTGTCCTGCGCGATGATTTTCTGGACGAGTCCCCGGTGAGTCGCGGTCTCGACGAAGTCTTGCATCGAGTGGACATCTTTGGTTTTGCTTCCTTGTACTGACGGTTTGCCTCCTTTTCTTGCTTGAACGTACAGCCCGCGGTCGAGGATACGCTCAAATGTTTAGTGGGTGTCTGTCAAAGTGTCGAAATGCGCGCCAACCGCAAAGCAGAGGCCAACGCCGCGAGAAGGATCATGTCGCGCGTGCCGTCCGTGTTGCAGCATTTCTGGGATCACAGGACGCGACTGTACTTGCGCGACGACGAATGTCCGCGCACAGGCACGGATCCCATCACCATTCTTGTCACCGTATACGGACTTATATACAAGATGACGTGAGATCAGCTAGCTCTGCCATTGACAGCGAGATGTACTGACTACTTCAATCTTTCGCAGGAACACATCTTTTCCTATCATCCTCCCACAGTTCATGATCCATCTTTGGGTCAACTCCACGCGACGAACACAAAGCCTAGACGACCTACTATGGTCCCACAGGCTGACCGTGAACAGCATGAAAGCGCGTGAGCTGTTCGATGAAAACGCGTACACGCATGTCACGCTCGTCGATGGTGTCGGAGTTGATGCTTACCTCGCTCGCATCGTCGCGGAGCTTCAGCGCCCCGACATAACCATCCGGGGTATTGAGGGTTGTCTAGCATCTCTGAAAGATCTTATTCTGGATCTTTCCTTGAGACCAGCAATTGAGAAACACGGCGTCATGCCCGTCGTCGCGAAGACCTTGGATGTGCAAGGGCGATGGCCCAAGGAAGATGCGTTGCGTGCCAACGTGTACAAAGAGGCGTCTCATATTCTCAGGTGTGCCGGTATTCTGCCGTGTCATTCTAAGATGGCAAAACTGACCTTCTTCAGTTGGTGGACCCAGAAGTACTTTGCTGATCTGTCTGCCATTGACAGATCTGAAGTCACAGCGCGAGGGGGCGATGTCGTAGACTTCCTCGTCCGGGGTCTGGATCTCGTCGCGGAGGGCTTCCACCGAATGGACAAAGGTGCGGGTCAACATATCCTCGACTCGCGATTCCCTCGTTGAATAAGCGAGAAGATGACAGACATGAACTACGCAAAGACATTCAAGAGTACTGTATCGTAGCCACGCGGATGTCGAACGACCCGCGGCCACCCGTTCGCGTATTCCTTGCCGGAATGAAGGCTCGCGCTCGCGACGAATGGTGGCCTTGTCTTTCGCGCTTGCAGTCCTCGCCACACCGGTCGGATCAAAGGGAGAAGCTCTACTCTGTTTTAGTTGATCGGTGGATGGACTATGGACGTGCCTTGGGTTTCGACGCCGAGAAGGAACAGAAGAGGCACAAGAGTGTGGCGAAGAGTCGTTGCACGTGGCGAGGGTGCGGGTACAACACTAGAGCCCCTCCTGGGAAGCTTCTCGCGTGCAAGGGTTGCGGAGAAGTTCAGTACTGTGGTCGGGAATGCCAGAAAAGGTACGAAATGGTTTACGTTGGGAAGTACCAAACTCATGTGTCTTTCTAGTGATTGGGCGCAAGGTGGTCACAAGCAGCATTGCGGGACGCGAGTCAAGACGTGATCGTCTCAACGTAGCTGGGAGTACACGCGATTACGAGTTGATTGTATGACTCTAATCGAGGCTGAAACTCACGTGAGCGCGTTTGAGAAGTACTCTACTAGTAGGTTCACCGAGCACGTCTATGTATGGTATCGAGATTCCGGTCTATGCCGACAGCTTCAGTCTTCATCGACCCTGATAATCACCCCCACGACTGATCTCGCTTATCTTCTCTATCTCCTGCACAGGCGATGGCACCCTCGTCTGCGACTCAGACAGCGGCCCTTTATCCTGCTCAGCCGCTCCATCCTCCACATCGCCCTCCACGCTCGCCGCACGCGTCGGCCCATCTTGCTTCGATTCATCGGCATCCATAACGTCCTTCAACGTCGACGCGGTCTCCGCATCGCGAGCCGATACCGGACGCTCGCGTCTCCAAGCAAGACCACCTCCGTATCCAAACCAGATATAGCGTCCCACGTGGGGTCCTCGTAGCAGAAGAACAATCAGGGAGAAAGAGCAGAACCCCACGATGAGCGCGCCGTTGGCTCGCCAGCCGTGTTCGAGGAAGATCTTGGACCCTGCCGCGCTACCGATGAACTGGCCGATGCTGATCTAAACACACATACATCCGCATCAGTACGTCAACACCCAAAGGTAAACATAGGGCAAGACTGACCGAGAACATCGAACACGCGTTCAATCGTGATCGCAATCCATCACCAAGCGTGAAGATACGCGTCGCTAGACTAACCTGCTGCGACTGCCTGAAGACGTCCATCCCGAGGGTTATGAGCACCGGTACGGCGACGTTGACTCCCGCAGCGCCCCAGTACAGGCAGAACGTCAACAGCAGGCAAGCCGACATGATGATCGAGACCAGCCACGGCTCGACACGATCTATGGCGCGCCCGTAGAGAGGGGCACAGCATACGCCCACGAAGCCTATGAGGCCGAATAGGCCGATGATGGTGCTGCGGGGCGCTTGTCAGAAGGAACGGTGAACTATTTGAGACGTGAGATCGTACCTTCCGTAGTGGTATGGCTTGTCGCCCAGCAAGAACGTCAAAGTCACCCAATAGTCTGCTCCAGTGTGAGTACATACGCACTCTGACTCCCGCAGAGGGCTGACGTTACCTGTAAACATAGCCGCTGTGGATAACCATCAGTTTAGTGGGCGTTCACGATCATGCTCATGCGACTCACCAGCCGCCACTTGAACAAGACAGACTTGTATGAGCGTGGGCTCCGTGCCCATCAGCCGGAACATGATGGTGAGTATCTGCCGGTACGTCGTCCCCTCCTTCGCTTTCGGCGGGAAGTCCGGCAGAGTCGCCCATAGCGCCAGCAGTGACGCAGCTTGAAGACCGCACGCGACGGCGTACACGACGCGCCAGGTGACATATTGCGCCACGACGCCGCTCATAACGCGCGAGAACAGCACGCCGAGGAGCAGACCAGAGAACACAATCGAGATCGCGCTCGCTCTTCGTTCCGGCGGCGCAAGGTCCGCGGCCAGGGGTACGAGGACCTGCGGCGCACAGCTGAAGACGCCGACGAAGAAGCATAAGATCTCGAACGCGACGAGTGAGCGAGTAGCTGCAAGTCCGACGGAGAGCAGCGTGGAGATGATGATCAGGAGCAGCAGCAGCTGCCGGCGACGCACGAGGTCGCCCAGCGGCGTTACGAGGAGGATGCCGGCGGCGTAGCTTGGGGGTGCGGCGTTTGTGAAGGACGTGCGGAGATGAGAATGAGAAGGAGACGTACCCGCCCTGGACGAGCGTTGGGACGCTGGGGTGGAGCTGTGAGCGTTGTGGTGGTGTTGTGCGGTGAAGAGGGGGCGGACCGGGATATTCGGTCGTAGGATACGCCGAAGGATTGGGCTAGATGGACTATAGCACGCATTCAGCCTCGTATGCATACAATGTCCAATAGAGCGTGATACGTACTCAGCATCGGCTGCGACTGGCAGGGAATCGCGCGATTAGCGTCCAGCGGTTGTGGGTGCGGTATGTATACGCACATAGTACAAATTGGCCACAACTGTGAGCGAGTGAGCCGGTATGCGCGCACAGGGTCCGAGTGACACGTACCGAATGTACTGCTAGCGCCAAAGATCATGTTCAGCACGAGACCGAACTTAACAGGTCGTTCTGGATCATATTGAAGACGTGCAGGTATAGGGATCAGGCCAAAGTCGCGAGTAGTAGAGCGGCCAGCAGCAGCAGCAGCGATGTCCCGCTTGACCTCGGACATGGCTTTTCGCTCGTAGGTGGGCGCGTCGAGCGAAGTGAGCGTCCCGCGCGTGCGAAGGCTCTATGCTTTATGTCTTTCCCGCAATCTGTATGTCGGAGGGAAGATACCGAAGGAAGAATGAGCCGGGCACATCTGTGTGCTCGGATTGTGAGACCATAGCCGGGTTGGATGTCGCCATACTCATGAGGCCGCGATATCTGATCATTGGGGCTTCATAGGCGGTAGTGGTGGTGGAGGTACTGCTCGAGGCCAATGTCGACCCAGAGGTCAAATATACAGTGATAGTGGGAGAAAGGACGCGGTGTATTCGTGTTGTATTTCAAGCGCTAACCGTGGTGGTCGAAAGCCAACTAGCGCTTGCAGAGACCCGGCCGAAGTCCGACAAGCGCCGACCGGTCCGTCGAGCCCGCCCTTCGAACTTCGACTCGGAAGTTTCGCCACCCACACTCGTGCTGCCACCACTGCTGCCGCTCACCTTGGGATCTTCACCCTATACGCTCTGTGCCTATCGATCTAGAGAGAGAATCCTGCAATGAACCGTCCCCCAAGTCCTCGACAAAGCGCACGGTCTCCCAATGCCTCATCCGCACCCAAACGCTCGCTTCTCGCCTTATGGGAACCAGTCTCTGAAGACCATCAGAAGCGTTCTCTTACTAACGCCGGAGTCGAGCGCTAGCGCTAGGTGCTGAAGCGCTGGTCATGAGCGCGCGGTCCCGAAGTATATAATGATCATCTAAGTCCTCGGCTCGTCCCCGCTGATCATGCGTTAGAACACCCTGAACGGTCACCACGACTGGTACCACTTAAAGGGCTCTTCTTTCCCCCACCTCTCATTAGGTACTACGTGGTGTCCCTGGCTTGTACGGACACTGAGTTCCTGCGAACAACGACAATGCAATATGGATATATATCTTGTATAAGGAAAGCAAGTAGGCGACGTTAGTCCATTAGAACGGTCACAAACTTCAACGTCCCCTTGCGTATATGTACCCAGATTCCATGGAAAGATCGAGCCACGATCATTATGATCTTGCAAACAAGAATGGACAGGGAAGCCAGTACCCAAAATACGTGCTGTAGCGTGACGAGAACAGGTATGGCTACGCATATCGCGCTCATGACCACGACCGTTGCCCGCCAATCAGGGGAAGCATGAGCCGTGATCAGCAAAAGCAATGCGAGAGTGAAGCCAGAGAATGACACGAACAAGAGCGGAAGTCGAGAGAATAGCGCGAATAATAGGTAGCCAAAGTATCTATCGCGGGCGCGGACCTGGCGTAGTACTCGTCAGACCTAAGGCCACGTCATGGCTGAATACTACACACCTTGAAACCCCGCGCGTTGGCGCTGAGATACCGTATCAAAAGGATGGAGTTGACGGTTATACCGCACGCGGCCGATGTCGCGGACAGGACCAGGCATTGCGACGCTACTTGTCCAATGGGAGATATAGTTCCGGTTCGAGAAAAGCCGTAGACGGCGGTGTCGATCCTGTTCAACATCCGATTAAACATGTGCACACCGAGATACTGGCAAGGAACTTACGCTGCAATCGCCACAAGCTATCGAAAACGCCATGAGCTACATGTAAGGAGATGCAGTTAGATAACGTGGAAGCTACTCACGGTTGCTCCGACGTACAGCCACTCGGCGATGAGTCTCGAGCGTACATGTTCGAAATGTTCGTCTTCTTGAGTAGAGATTGCGTAACGTATTTGCCCATAGTACGTCATTTGATCGCATAACCAGATGGTCACAGACCCTGAAGTTTTGTATACGACCGCAATAGGGTCTCCAACATATCTCGGTAGGAGGCTGGGTGAGACTCGCTCGTCGTAGATAGGTAGTTCCCAGTAGGCGGAATCGGAGTCAGATTGCGGCGCCTTATCATCCATGTGCCCCCAACCTTCCCATTTCGAGCCGAGCCAAGGATCCTCGGTCGTGTGGTCGGCCTCGGAATGGGCGTACGTTGCGTTATCCGTGACATCGTATCCAGGAGGCTCGTCGATGGCGGTATCTGCACTATCGATGACCTGCAATTCATGGGACACCTGCCTCCATGAACTTTTCGTGAGATCCTCCACGATGATCCGAGATTCAAGGTCGATGTTTCTCCTAGGCCGCTTATCCTCGGCTATTTGGGATAGAAGATAGCCGGGTATGTATTTGGCTGTGCCCTGCAGTGCTTCGCCTAAAGAATTGAAACGCGAACTTGCTCCGAAAGTGGCCAAGACGGTATGCATCAGGCCTTCGACAACCGGACTTGACCAGTGTTGAACTCTGCGGACACTGCGGACACTGCGAACTTGCGTGGACACTAGAGCATACAGTGAACATGGGTGACATGTCGACAACAGAGGAGATAGACCTTGATCCATAATAGTGTGCTGAATCGAGGCTGTCATGGGCTCGAGACGGCTCGCAGTGACTGTGATGACTTCCACCACCGTCAACGCTGCCATCTCCCAAGGAGTACGAAAGTCACCTATAGGAAATTAGGGACAATTCGTGGATTTCAAGCTATAAACGCACGTAAGAGGCCATCCCGTGAGGGCCGCGTAACGTGCATCAAAAGCTTTAGCGTTTCATTGAGCGCATCCACGGCCCTTCGAGCACCATCCCGATCGGGCGACCACGCCTGTGTCCGCTCGACAAGTGAAATTAAGAGGTCGAAGGAATTGCACAGCTCGCCGTCCGCCCATCCACCATCATAAGCAGCCTATGGGTTTCAGTCTTAGTCGCGAAGCAGAGAAAACGGAATGGCGGCGAACCATTAACAGCACGACGGCGGCGGAGAATATGCATCTGCCTCCAGGAAGAATCCTCGCGTGTGTAAGTGATAGTCCGCGCCGCTTGCGCCTTGAACGCTCCGGTGACGACACTGTTTCTGCGGTCGCCTCAAGCAATCTGATCATTCCGCGTACAAAGCGCCTCAGACACTCTCTCAACGCTGGCGACGCTTTGCGTCCATGCCGTTCATCGCTCGGTGAACGCGAGGCCTTTTGCAGCACCCCAAGTATCCCATCAACGGTATCGCATTCCTCCACATCGCGCACGAATGCTAGACTCCGATCCCGCAGATCTATCCCTATGGATCGGCGATATTCCTCAAGTGCCTCGTCCCAGCGCTGGTAGATATCGGTGGTGGAGCTTGAGAGAGGAACCGGCGAGTCGTCGACGTTATTCTGAGTCAAAATAGAGTAACGAGCGAAATGTTGCATGCGAGGGGGCATGGTGGTGAAAAGGAAAACGCTCCCTTCGAAGACCTGGGGCCTCAAGGACTGGCTGCTGTGCAGGGCGCTGAGCAGAACGCACGCCCTTCGAATTCGGGGATGGCACGCATCTTCTGGACGCTGTTCATATGTATATGCATCGCATGTCCACATGCCGCATCCGTTCACTGAGAGTCAGAAGAATGTTTTCAGCCCGGCCTTCTGTCCATGCCGAACAACATGAGGTGGAGATGAAATCGATATCAAACATTGGCGTTTCAGGGAATCGAGACCCAGCACAGCCGTATCATATGTCCAAGCATAACGAGTGTTCCTCGTTTGTCCGGCGAAGATAAGCTTAACGTGGCCAGTAGGGTATCCTGGTGGTGGTCGAGAGGCAACTGGCGCTCGCACGAGCGGGCCGAAGTTCGGGATGAACGTCATCGCCGAACGCCGAGCGCCTCCGCTATCGCGCTTGTTCGCCCTCGACTACCACCACCACCACCACTGCCGCTAGTCACTGGCGTATGTCCTGCGAGTTATGCACTCTACTTTCGATCATGGACAAATGGGCGCCCTCTAGCGAGCAGGGCTTGTAGACCTGGACGAAGGCGTCGTTCATCCAACCCGGCTTCTCATCCTAGCCTGTCCCAACACCTCTTTTCCTCTGTAGAAGTCCTACACTAGTTCTACTATACAATGGAATGTTCTTTTCCTCTCGTCCAGACCGGGCCCTGCAAACCTGATCAATCGCGCTCTCCCGCCGAACGCCGAAACAGGCTGAGCACGCTGAGCGCCGAACATCGAACATGAGCGCACGGTTCTCGTCCATTCTCCGGAACTTCTCGTCCACCGTCCACGTTTTCGACTCCTCTCCGTCCACCCCACTCACACTTGAAAACCTATTTCATCACCGCGACTTTCGTCACGCTGCGGCTTTCCCTCATTCCACCTCCCTTACGCACTCTCTGTGGCAATTGAGCCAGTGCTCCAGTATGCCTTGCTCGTACGGTTATAATTATATGAACATGTAGCTGCTTGTAATCCATAGTCTTCATATCATTGTGCCACGAGTACGAACGGATCACAAGGATGCCAGTACCCGTAGCTGACCCAACATAACACCACCACACCTCCCCACCCAACCAGGCGACGCATGCGCCGCGATCAGCAGGAGCAGAGCAAGCGAGAAGCCAGATGTCGATACGAAGAAGAGTGGTAGTCGGGAAAAGAGCGCGGATGAGAGGTTGTCGAAGTATCTATCGCGCGCGCGGGTCTACGGCAAAGAGTCAGAGTTGATTCGGCTCAATGGGTCTGTGGTGTACCTTGATTGTCCGTACGTTGGCTTTGAAATACTGAATCAGGAGAGCCGAGTCTACGGATATGCCACATGCGGCTGCCGTCGCGGAAGAAACTAAGCACCCCCGAGGCATGTTCATCGACGATGAAGATGGTACCGGTCCGAGCAAAACCGTAGACGGCTGTATTAATAATGGTGAAGATATGTCAAAGCACTCCACGACTGAATGCGCGGGAGATGACTCTCGTACCGTATTCGTCTATGAACCAGTAGTATCCGCATGGCTCCTCCGGATTGACAGTCAATAGGGCACCGGTCCAAGAATCCGTGAGACCTATTGTTGAACGAAGGCCTTATGACGACTGCGTTGGGGCCCAAAATCCGGGCGAGACTGTCGTCAGGCATTCACGCTCAACGCAATCAAGTTGGTCGATTCAACTGTTCAGGAGCAGGTGAGCACGAGATTACAAGCCGATGAATCAGAGTCAACGCACTTTTCTGGGGGCCCTTGAGCGGGTTCGTCGGTGTAAAGGACGGGGTTCATAAAATATTCCATGAGCGAGGAGGTATAGCGAAGAGGGAGGTGGTGGTAATTGGGCAAGGGTGTCGGGAAGAGCGCGAGTGCACTGCAGGCGCTGGCTGTCCGTCTGATGTCGTCCGACGAACGACCGCCTTGAAGGCCGTTGGCGATTTGCCCAAGATTTGCCGGTCTCTCGCGCAGTACGCGAACACTTGCTCAGCGTAGACTCGTAGACAGTCGAGAGAGGTGGGCCAAATCCCGCAACGGGGGGCATAGTGGGGTTCCTCCCAGGCCGTGTATGCGAGGGCCATCACAGTTCCAGTAAGCGCATATGTTCACGCATCATGCATCATCAGCGAGGGGTACTTATAGATTGGGACTAGAGTACTGTAGCAGAGCTAGCGGTCACGTTGGTCAGAGCAAACGAGCGCTTGCGCGGGCGCCCGAAGCCCGATCCTGATCCGGGATGAAGTCATCGCCGAGCGCGTCCGAAAGTTCGCCACAAATCCGCTCCTCCCTCCGCCATCGCCTCTACTACTACTACCACCACCAAGTCTACCGCCACTCCTCTGTGTGCTTCTCGCATGCCACGCTCTCCCCATCTGCCCTCAAAGCCGGCGAGATGGATGTCCTCGCGCGCGCAGGGCTCGTAGACCTGGACGAAGACGCCCTCGCGCACCCGCGCCGCTCGCCCGCCCTCTCCTCCTGGCCCGTCCCGCCACCTCTCTTCCTCCGCCAAAAAACCCTCTCAACCTCTCAAGATCCATTCCCACCGTCTCCCTCAACGCCCCCTCCCAAACGCGTCCCTCCAAACCTGATCAACACCGCCCTCCCGCCCGAGCTCCTCCTCTCAATCTTCACCCTCCTAACCCACTCAATCGCCGACCACGGCGCACACTGGTCCTACTCCCCCTCTTGGCTCTCCCTCACCCACGTCTGCCGCACCTGGCGCTCCCTCGCGCTTTCCTCGCCCCTCCTCTGGACACGCATATCCTTCTCGCGCTCCACCGGCGATCTCGCGAATGCTATGTTATCCAGATCAGGCGACGCGGAGCTGGACATAGCGTACGGCGACCGCCTGGCGCGTATGCCGCCCTTGCAGCTCTACACCGCGCTCTCTCCGCGTCATCTAAGACGCACATCGTACCTCCGGCTCAACGTCACGCGCGCGCTCCTCGCGCATCTCGCCGCGCGCCTGCCCCCGGACGCGCCCAGCCTTAGACGGCTGCACATCGATCTGGTGGACGGGATGCATGCGCCTGGAGCGGGGCACGCATTACCTGGTATCGCGAATTTGCACGCTGGAGAGCTGAGAGTGCTGATATTGGACGGGGTACCGATCCCGTCTAGCGCACCGCTCCTCACACACTCCCATCTCCTCACCGAGCTCGTCATATCCGGCATCCCGCGCCCGGCACGGTGGAGCGTATCCTCCGCCCTCCTCCTTCTCTCACACACCCCGCATCTCAAACGTCTATCCCTCATACACGCGATCGAGGAAGACTACCCGGACGACGCGCCCGCATCCCCCCTCTCCCTCGTACATCTCGAGCGCGCGACGATCCACGCGCCGACGCCCGCTGTATCGTCTTTTCTCTCGTCTCTCACTGCTAGTTCCGCAGAGAGTACGACGCGGTATACGCTCTCGTGCGCCGCGCGGGAGGAGGGGCATACGGCTCTCGCCGGCGCTGTCTCGCTCTCTCTGCGTTCTGGATGCATCGAGAGGCTGGACGTATCATTCGGTCTGACGGAGTTCGCCGTCCGATGCTACACCTCTTCCCCCTCTGGCGCAATGCACATGGCGCTCGAACTCCACCTCGAACCCGAACGCGTCCTCTCCGCCCCGCACAGCTCCGGCCGCGCCTCGCTCCTCGACCTCATGCGCTCCCCGCTCACAGCCTCAACGTTCGAGAACGTGCGGCGTTTGAGGGTTATGAACGACGGGGCGATCTGCAGGGACGATATGCGTGTTATGTACCGCGCGCTCGCGGGGAGGATCGAGGGGCCGTTGGAGGAGTTTGGGTGTCATGTGCGGGACATGGAGTATGATCGTGAGGGCGGTGAGGAGGGCATCGGGACGTTTTTGAGGGGCGCGAGGAGGATAGGCGTTAAGATTGGCTCGTGGATCCCGGACGACGAGCGCTTCGGGCGGACGGGGCGGGATTGGGCGAGGGGGTGTATACGCGCTTGGGCCTTTCCGTCTCCTGCTCCGTCTACCCGTTCCAAACCCCTCAATTCTCCTCGATCAGGATCAGGTCCCAACGAGGGGGAAGCGGTGCTGGAGGAGGTCGTGATAGATGAGAGGGAGCGGTACAGCGGGGCCGCGCTGAGGTGTTTGTTGGGGCTCGATCCGGATCCGCCTAGGCAGGATGCGGGTGAGGAAGGGGAAAGGGGAGGGGGAGAGGAGCCGCCGTGGGTTGTTGAGCAGAAGCAGAGGAGGACGCCTGTTGTTGGTCCTACATCGTAACTCGTCAATGTCATGTCATATTGTACGATCTGGCGCGATGCAGTGTGCCTTAGATAGCAATGAATGCGAGGTGTGATATAGTGAGTTGCATATAATGTGCGAAGTCCTCGCCGATATTCGAGCTGAGCCTCGCCGGCATGAACAAGCAAACCGGAAAATCGCGGCGCAATCTGATAGTGCTCGCAGTGCGAAGAACGAGCACTGCTTGTGCGGAGGGCAGAACGTATAGTGAGAAACGCGTGCTCGCAACTACACCGCGAGCACGAGGCGGCGGCAATTGCCGAGCTTTCTGCGCAGGCAGAAACAGTAGGTGGCGATCTCTGGGCTCCGGCCTCTCTAGAAATAGTACCCGTATGAGTGCATCTCCCGCGTGAAGCAGCTCGAGTCCCTGGTCGTGCCCGTGTGCCAGTCCGCCTCCCTCGCAAGTCCCGGGCGTGGTTTGCGGACGCGTCCTCAACAGGTCACGTGACCGCGTTTTCGGCCCGCGCGCCGCCGTTGTAGACCTTCCGGCGGGCCGCTCAGTCAAGCGCGACGCACCGGTTGGCTTTCGACCACCATGACCGGCGCCCTGAATGCGATTCATACTCTTCCACCTCTGTACACGTTCAGGAGCCCGCTCTCGTGAAAGTCTCAAAGGTAACTCTGACCAAAGCTTCCGCTACCGAAGCGCCGTGGCGCGCGGCTGGCGCGAGCCGCAACGTGAGATTCCTAGGAAGCTCGTCCTTGGGCTTGCATCCGAAAGGAAGATCTCAGCCCAAATCATGCAGCTCGGGGAATAGCTTAGGACACCTGTCCTTGGATTTCCAACGATAAGGGCCCGTCGCAGCGCGAAGAGTCCCCCATCCCCTCATCTCCCCACCAACCTGCCATCTTCGCTCTTCTTGCCTTTCCTTCCCCACTCTCTGCCTTCGAGCCATGATCCCGATTACCTGCAACGCCGTGGGCGATATCCTCGCACTAGCGACCCTCTTCCTCGACATCGCTCGAGCTCTAGACGAATCCCGCGGTTCTCCCGCCAAATGGCGCACCCTCAACTCGGAATTGAAGTCCTTGCATATCGTGTTGACATCTGTGGCTCGCGTTGCCGAGCATACCGCGGATACGCTCCTCCGCGACGAGATTGTCCGCGAGGTCAATCGGTGTAGTGATGACGTGCGGCGCGCGCTCGAGCGCGTGGCAGAGTTTTCTATGCTCGGGCGTGACGAGTCCCCCGACGATGTTTGCAGCATTAAGATGAAGCGTCAGTGGTACAAGCTCAAGTGGCGCTTTGGGTATCACGGGAGCGCCGAGAGCATCCGTGCTGAGCTTGCAGCAGCGACAAACCGTTTGACGGCCTACCTGGTCGTGTCCAATGCGTGCGTTTCCCTACTACATCCATTAGAGGGATATGACCTGATGGTATCCTCTTACACAGTGATAAGATACACAGCTTGGGAGCGTCAATCACAGAACAGTTCACTGCTACGTCCGCACAGATCTGTACCTTGCTTCTGCAGCAGTTCGAAGTCGCCGCGATGCGCAACGCCGAGCTCACACGTACCGTACACGGCCATTCGGCGTTCCTGCAAGGTTCCCAGTTTTCTTCGCGAAGTTCCCTCGCGTCTGCGGGCTCTTCCAGCAACGCCTTCCATAATCTAGACAGTAGCAAGGCTGCCGCCGCTGCCCTACTGTGCTTCGCTATATGCACCATGCACGATACTTCGCGTTCCTTTCATTCTGCGCTCCTTCTGGCCGCTTTCGGTATCTTGATGAGTGGCATGGCACGAGAGACCTTTACTGTCTCGTCGGATGTCAGATACGGACAGTCCAACTCGGTTCTTCTGGACGACGCAATGGGCCGTCAACTGGTGCTACCGATCGAGCTATGTGCAACAGTCGAGGTACGCCCGTATTTGTACTGGACATTGATGTTCGTTTTCTGACGGTGCAGAAGCTTCTGCATGCGACCCTCGTCACCCTATTCTCTCCGACATCGGGTTCCTGGTTCATCCACTCACGCAACTACAGGATCCGGACCATCTATAAGGATGGAGACTATAGAATATCTTTGCCACACCGGGACGATGGACCTCTGTTCATTGAGCCGGGCGCCAAACTTGTGATGGATGTCATTATATTGGACAATAATCTACAAGTCGTATGTCCAATCTGTCAATTATTAGGTGTTGTCAGGCCGTTGCGCTTCGAGGACCATTCGACGTGGTGAGCTGTTTGAAGTTCATGTATCATCCACCAATATTGATTTCAAGGTAGCTCATATTGCCAGTGGACAGTCTGGTTTCTAGGTTTTGGCCTTCAAAGCAGCTACGGTGCTGAGTTCGACGGTTGCAGAGTGATCCTTCCGCTTGCCAAGTTCGTGGTCCTCATATAGGCTCAACACTTGACGTCTGACATGCGTGCACTTCAGACCCACTTTTCCAGTCCAAACCCAGGCCGCCAGACCTGGGAAAATTTTGCCCGAGATCGGGGCTTCTCGATCAACTCTACGACAGACCAGTGCAACCGAAAATATTGCTAAGCGTCCACACTTGGACTGGAATAGTCAGATCAAAGCCTTCACACGCATATACCTCTGTCCCACGGATGGCAGTCTTGATTCTCTTCCCAAACAGTCTACTGACTTCCACATGGCTGCCCTGAACGGTCACTATGACGTTGTCTGTGACGTTCTCGAAAGGGGCATAGACGTCAATCTCACCGACCCGTCAGGTCACACCGCGCTTCATTCTGCCTCTATGGGCGGTCATCTCACCATTGTCGAATTATTGCTCGATTATGGCGCCGTTGTCAATGCGGTTGCGCTGAATTCATTGACACCCATCGCATGTGCCTTGGCTTGCATGAAGTTCGTAGTCGCGGAACTACTCATTTCTCGGGATGCTCTCTCCGGTCTTTCGCCACTCTCGCAGGCCATCATTTTATATTATGCTGCAAAGTCCGGTCATATCCAGATAGTCCAGATTATGCTTACACTCGGCACAGATGTGAACACGCGTGTGGCGATTGCTGGAGGCAAGACGGCACTGCATTGTGCATGTGAGGTACAAGTGGCTCATCGTACGCATAGGGAACAAATTATCCAGTTACTCTTGCAGAACGGAGCAGACATACACGCGTGCTCTGACACCGGCGAAACTCCTCTCTCAATTGCTTTGAGGACTTGGCGTTCTAACCTGTTTGAGTTCCTCATCCCTTCAGAAGACATGGACAACATTCTGCTCAATTGGACTGCATGGTGGCCCAGCAATGGACTTGACCTGTTAGAGGTAGCCGTTGGAGCCGGTCTTCCCAAGCTCATCACAGCACTCTTACAAACTGGGGTTGATGTTAATCTGCGGTTTCCTGATGGTCATACTCCGCTGACATCGGCAGTCAAATCGTTGCAATACGAGCCTGCGACGCTACATCTGGGAAACGCCCCCCCACTTAGCGCCTCTTAGCGCTTCTCAGGGGCCGATTTTGATGCCCGAGCACTCAGGCCTTCTCAGGCCTTCTCAGGCACCTCTTAGCGCTTAGCTGCCTCTCAGCGATCTCTCAGGCGCTGCTTAAGGACTACTCAGCGGGAGATGAATTAGGTAGTGTCGAAGTCAATAAAATAGAATACACGCACCAATTCGAGTAATTCCCAAGTAGATTAGCCAATAAAGTCGAATTCAAGTGATATCAGCACCCAAAAAGGAGGGAAATCAACATCCATTGTTAATGATACAACGAGTACATGCAAGAATAGTATATAGCGAGCACCGGGAGATCAGGTAAGCATGTGGGACGAGCAATAGACAAGCGGAGCGGGGACAAGAGGCTATACAAGTAACAAAAGCGATATACACAAAGCAGCTGAGAAGAGTCGCGGTGGCGAGGGCGGAAGGAGCTCGACGCAGGATTCACGTATCGAGATTGTAGGCGGCGTCGTCGTCGTAGTCGTAGTCGTACTCGCCTTCGCCGTCGTCGCCGTCGTCGTCGTCGTCGTAGTAGTCGTAGTCGTAGTACATCTCCTCGCCAGGGAAATCGAACTCCATACCGTCGAACTCCATGTCGCGCCAAGGCCGATACTCACCGTCCTCGCACAGGGTGGGCGGGTCTTCATCGAGAACAGTGAGCGTGTCGTCCTCCACACTACCCATACCGTCAACCCACCCTCCTTCCTCGAACATTTCCTCCATTCCCTCGCCAGTTATCCCTCCCTCCTGTGATACCTGATCCATCGCCTCGTCCTCCACCAGCTCTCCCTCCTCGACATCCTCATCCATCACCTCATTCTGAACGAGCTCTTCCTTCTTGGCATTGCTCTCTGCCTCGCTCGACGCGGTCTCCTGCGCGGTCTCGTTCTCCTGAGACATGAGTGGTGTTGAGGGTTCGGGCGTCGGAGACCTGTTCGCGCAGGAGCTGCACGCGGGAGTCTCTCCCGGGTCGAGATTGCGCGGCATGTTCAGGATCTCGACCGGGAACTGGCCGCGTTGAAACGACGCCAAGTAGTAGCGAAGGAAGACGTGTGACTCGAGAGCGTTGAGCGCGCGCTTGCTCTTGGGTAGGCCATTCGGGTTGCTCACTAGCGCCTTGAGTTTATCGGCCGTCAGCCACTCGCGGTCGCGCTTGAAGCGCCTGTCGAGCTCGTCAAGGCCGTCGACCTTCAGAAGCAACTGCGCGAACTTCCGAATCCATGTCTTCCGCTCGTCGTCCCATTTCTTGTCGCTAGGAGCCCAGGGGACGGGGAGGCCATTGCATTCCTGGAGGGACCAGTCCCCCATGGCGATGTAGCACGCCAGGTCCGCGACCGAGCCAGCCTGCTTGAGCTCCTCCTCGTTCATGAAGTCGGGTGGGTGATTTTCGCCGGCGAAATCCTGCAACGCGGGAATGCCTTCGGCCTCGAGCGTAGCGGGAGAGGCGAGCTCGACCAGCCAGAACAACAGGTTCAGCTGGTTGAACATGTACAAGATGGCTTGCTGAAGGTCACCGTCGCCAACGAGAAGGCGCTCGATGGGAACACAGCCACACGGCAATAAGCCCAGAGGGAAACCGATGGCGAACGGATCGTTCTCCTCGCTGCGCTCCCCGCCGTAGAGCAGCGTCACTCCGAGCTCCAGCGGGTCCTTTTCGGTGGCGCGCGTACGATCTTCGCCATAGAGAAGCGGGTGCCCGTACATGTGGAAGTACGACAGCTCCCACTCCTCGAACTCGATGGCCTCCCCGCGCTTGCGACCTGCTTTCGCTGCGACGGAGAGCTGAGCGGCTCACCATCGCCGCTGCCATGCCTGCGTCGATAGGACGTCCCTCCATTCGTTTGGCCTCAGCCGACGAAAGTTCTTGTCCTTCTGGTTGCGCGCCAACCGCACGCGCGCCAGGAAAGTGGGGGCCAACCAGGTCGCATACAGGAGATGCTCGATCATCGTGTCGTGCGTCTTCGCCCGGTAGAGGACAGACATAGGCGGTGTCCAGGTCCCCAGCGTCCCATCCCCTCTCTTCGCCTTGAGCTCTTTCTTGTCCCGAAATTCGCCGTCTGGAGGCTTCACATACTTGTCGAGGAGGTCGACGTGCTCGAGCGCCTTCGCTTCGACGCTGAGGAATGCGGTCCGCGCTTGCGGTATATCCATATCGCGGAGGCCTTGCTTCAAGTCGTAGAATCGGTTCAACGCCGGAGCACGGTCGGCGAAGAGCTTATACCGCTCGGCGGAGATGTCCACGCCAGGGTGATGCTCGCGGAAGTCTGCTTCCTTGAGTTTACCCTCGACCTTCTGCTTCTTGGCGGCTGCAAATAAGGTTATTAGTTAATACATCCCCAGACACTGTGTTAATTGACGCACCTCTTGCTTTACCCTGCATCCTGGCCAAGTCCGCCTCCTTCCTATCCGACATCCGCATCGCACTACCCGGGATCGGGACACCATGGAAGGCAACGAACTCGATGTGGCGCCAGTCGATACCTTGCGGCGGATACCAAGGTAAAGGTAGGTCTTTCTGACGAATGTCGGCTATTAAACATAAGTATCGTAGCTTCTGATGAACGAGAATATCGACTTACTGAACGGGATGGATGGTACGACACTGCAGCGCGGGGGCATGTGCTCGTACAGTATCCCATCCGGCAACGAGTACTCGTTGAGATCGACGAGCGCGTAGACGGGGACACTGAGATGCACCAGAAATCGGAGGTAAGTGTCGATCTGCGTGCCGCTGACAATGACGCCCCGCCGAGAAGTCTTCGCGCGACGTGGGATGCGGAGGCGAAGCATCTTCGCCTGCTCCCTCGGAAGGAAAGCGGCCATGAAGTCGATGTATGCGGTGACGAACGCGGAGGAGCGCTGGTGCATGCGAGCGCAGACCATATAATCGGCCCACGACTGTAGCTCTCCCCAACGCAGCGTTCCCCACGTACGCCTCATGATGCTCGAGGCAGCGTAAGGCGGCCTGATCTCCGCCGCGACGCGGTGCTGGACGGTCGTTTTCCCGTGCTCCGTTTTCGCCATCGCTTCGTGGAATAAGCCAACGGCGAAGCGGAAGAGTTTTTCCAGCGTCTTCGCCCGCTCCTCCAGTTCCTTGTGCACCTCGTCGCGGCTGATGAAGACATTGTCCTGCGCGCGCCCCTTGGCGTTGGTGCCACGGACCGTATCTTCCTTGCGCGGCTCGCGGAACTCCGGTAGGCGCGTCATGTCGGAATCGGCTGAGTCGGGCACCGGCGTGAAGGCGAGATACAGTGCGGCGGGGTCCAAAAATTGAGGCTGACGGCCGGGATCGTGCCAACCCCAGTTGCCGTCGTCGCAAGTGTAGACGGACTCGGGGCCGAGAAGCGTGGGGTCGCCAGGCGCATAGTCCGTGTTGACGCAGACGAGGGCGTGGTTGTCCCCCCACAGGGTGGCGAGCTTGGGCTGGAAGTCGAGCGGGAGCTTCTTCAGCGGCCCCGGTGGTTTCGAACGCCGTTCGGCAGGCTGTTCGGCTGGAAGCGCAGGTGGTGGGGCGTGTGAGGACGTGGGGGACAGCGGGCGTTTCGGTGGGCGTTGGACATTCGTCGGCGGGGGAGGGAGGGTCTTCTTATTGAATTTGAGGTTGCTTAAGTCGCGCGCCGGCTTGGAAGCAGGCGCGGATCCAGCTGGTGCAGCGCGGTCCATAGCGTAGTACCTCGGCGTCAAACAGAACACAAGATCTCGCGCCTAGCAGTAAGGCTGCCAAGTCGCGAGTGTGCCTGCCCGAGAGTGGTACAGTTCGTGCTGGTGGACCGTGCGCGTAGCCGTGAAGGAGTACCGCGGAGGGAGAATCGATAGAAGTGGTGGTGGTGGAAGGAGAGACGGTGGTGGTGGTGGTGGTTGAGAGAGAGACGCGACGCGACGCGCCGCGCGCAAGTGCGCGACGCGTTTGATCGCTTCCCACGCGCCCAACCGCGCGCGCGATTGCATCTATATCAGCACCTAAGTCAATAACCCCGCTTTGCTCAGTCTACAAGCACAAATTGACTCACCCGGATGAGAATGTCACTCGAAAATTTGAAACAGCACAAAATATAGATATTGATTGAGTAAAAGCGTGTATTGGATACGAAAAAAAGGGAAACAATCTCTTGTATATGTGTTGTACGTGCGAATGGTTAACGTACCGTGACGTAGGCGTGCTTGTCGGAGAACGAGTTAATATAAAAATTTGAGCACTTCTCCAGCACATTGTCGGCCGTCCAGGTGAGGTTGACGCGTTCGCCAAATTTGGGGATGAGCGAGACGCTGCGTCGAACCCTATCGAGAGGGAGGATGGAGACAACGCGTTCGGCGTCGACGGTCGTGCGCGAGATGCGCTTCAGGCCATGCCAGCGTTCGGGATTGGCGGGGGTGGTGGAGAACCATTCCAGGTACGCGAAGTGTTTGGGGTATTGGGCGTGGTCACGGCCGAAGACCTTTTCGCGTCCCTTCTTGGTGAATCCAAAGATGATGCGCACTTGCGCGACACGTAGCTCTACGGAGTTGTCAGCGGAATGCTCAAAAGGTGACCGTGGATGGATGGGTGGAATGGCGAGAATAAATCAGAAACGCACCTCCATCACCGTACTCGTCCACCAGTGCCGTGTTGAACCTCCCCTGCTGCTCCCTCTTCTGAGCATCCCGATAGGCCGGTCGCGCGATAATGGAGTCGGGAAGTTCCTGCACAAGATCTCCTTCGCGGTCCAGTGCGTCCGCGTGCCAGAACTTGAGGCGGTGGAATGCACACACAGAACGAATGCCAAGGACTTTGTGCGGCGCTGCGTCCCTGACTTCTCGATCCGTCAATTCGGGATTCACGGTGTGAACGATGAATTCCTGGAGCTTCAGCTTGAACTCCTCCGCGCCGTATTTCGCCTCCACATCATCAAACTTGACAGATTTCGCGTTCGGGTGGCGCGCGATAGTCTTCTTGAGCTTCAGTTCACCGGGGAGGGCTGCGCGCGGCATATTGTGAACCGATGGTTTGCCCTGGAGACACCAGTCGATGTAGATGCGATGGGTGAGGAGTTGCTCGCGGCGCAGAAGCCACAGAGTCATCTGTGGGTATTCGTCCTTCCGATTCGTGGCGCGCCAGGCGGATTTCGTGTAGTCGATATGTAGACGCTCCGAGTATGCAGTATTGAAGTTGTCGGCAGTGCCGAACTGCCTGATAGACGGAGCGTAGTGGGCGAGCGAGTGGAGCTTGGGTAAGTTGAAATGCGTGCGGGGGCCCATGTGGATGAAGGTGTTCTTGTACCGGTGGAAACGTTTCAAGGCGTCCTGGAGATCCTGCAGCGTGTCCTCCGATGCCTCTGCATACTGTGCGAGGTATACAAAATCGAGCAGGGCGCGAGTGGCGACCAGGGCACGTGCATGGCTTCCTTCACGCCTAGGCTTCATGTCGGCGATGACACCAAGGAGAACGCGACATATATCTTGATGTTCCTTGCCGGTGACGCGCGAAGTCGGTATGCCCTTGTTGAACTGGCGAAGTTGGTGGTTCGCGGGGAGACATTTGAACCGTGCGTCGATTGCCTTGGGGCCGTATACGTGCTTGAGCCAGACGAGAAGGTGCTTGATGACGCCTTGGTAGCATTGATGTAAGAGATCGGGTGTCAGGGCTTGAAAAATATCGGCGTGCGGATAGTCGGTCCAAAAGGCGTTGATCGGTTTGACTCCGGCACCGATGCAAGCGTCGAGGTACCCATCGTAGTCGTGAGGGTGTGCGGTCCGCCATCCCAGAGCTGCGACAGCCTTGTCGATGTCCCGCAACTTGCAGACCTTCTCCGTTTCGAATTGAGACTTGTCGAGCGTCCCCTTCGGGCATTGGCCGCTCTTGATGCCGGCAACCATGACCTGCTCGGGGTAATCCGCTATGTAGGCGGCGAGCAGTGGGTGGCAGCGCCGACGCAGACCATCTCCCGAAGCCATGATGACACCATCAACCGCCACGGCCTTCAGCGGCTGGAGAATGTCGCTCATGCAGACGTGGAAGAGGTTGATCAGGGCCCGTCGCCGCTGCTCGTCGTTCTTGATACCCTCGAGTTTCGTAACCGGCAAGTAGCCTAGGAGGACTTGAGCTTGAAGCGAGGTCTTGCGACGAAGATCTTTCGGGAGATTGCCGATGGTGAGATAGACGGGGTAGGCCGAGCGGTTGCGGAATTGGGTCAATAGTGTCTTGTCGGAGGATATAAGAAGGGGAATGATCGTGGCGCCGCGCTTTTTGCTCTCGAGCTTGAGCTGAAGTGACTGTTAGAACGTGAATTTAGGTTATGTAGAATGTGACGTACCTGGGTCTTCCACCACCACGTACCCGTGTGCATCTCATGGTATGTTCGAACCTTCTTCTTCCGCCCTCCTATCCGCTGGACGATGTAGTGTTTCTCCGGCGCAAAGATGAGGTCCTTGGCAAGATCGGGGCGACCGAAAAGCTCTCGGAGCACGTCAAGCGAGTTGCGCATGTACATGTCATGCTTCTCGCCACCCAAAGAGTATGAGCGACGCGTGAAGATCGGTCGAGGTGGCAGACCCTTGTCCATGATGCGATTGAGCTCGCGGGTATTGCGGAATTGAAGTCCAAGACGCTCGCGTACCTGCATATAAACTGTCAGATTCGAAATCATAGTGATGAAAATAATGAACCGACGTACACCTTCAAGTTTCAAGAAAGCGGTGAATGCATTGGAGCCAATAGCGTGGCCCTTCACCCAGTCGGCAACCTCCCAATCCATCTTGGTTTTGAAAGGGTGGTACGGATTATCCGGCTGAGGTGCGGCACCAGGTGCAGGAGCAGGTCTG